GGACAATCTTTTTTAAAAACAATTGATGACTGGGCCATGCAAAATTTAGTGCAAAGTTTTTTTCACGTCTTCATGTGGTGAAAATTAACTTTTTAACTTTTTTTATCTTGTATACTTTTTTTTTTTTTTTTTTTCGTTAAAATTTCTTCTTGGGGGTCGCAACTAATCAGTGACATCACAGTGTCGCGTCGCGTCACGCTTACCCTTTAACGCCGTTTTAAGTTCGCCCTTGGTGGGTGCGTGGACATGTCACTAATGAGTTACGACTCGACCAAAATTAGTTTTAATTCTTTTTAAATAACTTTTTTTAAACCACTCGTTAAAATTAAACGCAATAACAAGGAGACGAGACCAAGCTTTGCAGAGAGCGCCAACACAGCATGCAGCAACAGAGTCAATAGAACAAAATGGCTTGCATAAATGAAGGAGAACCAATAACTCCCAGAGTGAAATTCAGGACTGTGCAAAAAATTAAAACGCAAAAATATATTTCCGACCAGGCATATTTAATCCCAGAGAATGGTGGCACTGCTGTGTATTTGAGTTATGAGCTAAATAGGACACTCGAAAGTATTTTTTATAAGTACTCTATAAATGGCTACATGGGCGTTAACGAGTTTGTTAAAATGGTAGGAAGGGGTGGTAGACGAGGAGGAAAGTTCATCAAAGAATCTTACTACCTTCCTCAGCCACGCTGGGGGTGCTCAACAATATCAATTTATGTAGTACTTACGGGGTTACACATATATGTGTATATCTATGTGTCTACTTATGTGTATATCTATGTCTCTACCTATGTGTATATATACATGTGCGTGATTTTTTTTCCCCACCCCTGTTGCATGATCCTTAGTGTTGATAATTTAAGCGTTTGCGATTCCCCCTGCGTGACACGACCACCTGACATGTGAATCATATTCTATTTTTTCTCCCTTTTTCCCCCGTTTTCCTTTGCTTCTCCCTCTTTACAGTGCTACGAATACAACTTGCTGCCGAAAAATAGGAACAAAAATATTTTGTACTACATTTTCAAGTCGTCCAAACCGTCCGACGTAGGCTACATAGGTACCCACTAACGTGAAGGAGTGACTTAAGGCTATTTATGTCATCCCTTGTTTGCTACCAAGGGAGCATACAGGGGGGGGGGGGGGGGTGTAAGCAGATTTTTTCCCCTTAAATGTATCTCTTCCTCATCATTCACATATGCCTTTGTTCATATATCTTTCCCTCCCACGTCGGTCACAGAATATAGGTTCTTTTTCCAACTACTGCAAAAACTGAGTGGGTACTTATTTCGCAAATTAATCATGACAGAGCAGGAAAAGGTACGTCCAGTTTTGTGCATTACAAATGGTGGTGGTCAGGGAGGGGAAAAAAAAGAAGTCACAGTTTGTGTGGTTTCTAAATGGATCACTACCATCCCCGTGCGAGGAAAACGCATAAGTATGCTCACACATCGATGTGCACCTTTTCGCCATTCCTTCGATTCCTTCCATTCATTCCACTTTTTTCCTCATCTCGCCTGCACCCTTGTACCTTTTTTTGACAGCTTAACGTGCTAATCAAACATCTGACTTCTTTATGCAACTCCAAGATAAGCATACACAAGGTGAAGTACGACGTAGGCATACAAGTCTCGGTGAGGAAAGAAGACAAAGGCACCAACGCCGTCTGCGACATGATTGACCAGTCCTGCGAGACTTCAGTAGAAGTAAAAAATGCGGCCACAGCGATCGACACAGGGGGCACTCTATGGGAAAGCCACATTAACCAAGGAAGTGAATTGCAAAAGCAAAACGGTGATGTGCCAGATGAAACTAACAATACGAGAACTTCCCACACACAAAAATTTACAAGCTCCGACGAACAAGAAATAAAGGAAAGAATAAAAGAAATTGAAAAATTATATTTCCACAAAGAAGACATTAACAAAAGGTTGAAGGAAGAAATAAATAATGCCTTGAATATCATCGAAGAGAAAAATAAGGTGATCGAAAATATGAACAAAAATAATGTAGACCAACTGAAGGCAGAAAGAGTAAAAATTATTCACCTGAAAAATGAAATCCAGAAATTGCACAATGAAAAAGGAGTGTTGGATTTAAAGAAAGAAAATAAGTCTCCCTCCAGTTGTAAAAACGGGAAGGAAGAACCAACCCACAGGGACCACATAACCACGGGAGACATGCAACATATGAAGTGGAAAATTTTGGACAATGAATATTTAACGTTAAAAAGTAAGTCTTTTTAAAAGTGTGCCCATTTGGGAACCACTAATAGAGGGGCGCACTTACCTTAGCGTGCGCAACCATTGAAAATGGTGGGGGGAGGGGAAGAAAGGAGAGGTGCCAGTTGTTAAGCAAAAGGGGGACACATATAAAACGGGATGCATCGGCATGTAAAAATCCATGTACTTGCGCGAGTATACACTATTACATGCACATGAAGGGGGTGCTCATTCTGTGTGCACGCACATGTGTTAAAGTTGGTCATCCGAAAAAACGCCGCAGGAGTAGATAATCACATTTACCTGCAACACTAGGGGTACTCCAATTCGGCAAAAAAAAAAACCCCCAAAAAAAAAAATTTTCCCGGGAATGTGATAACAATAGGGCGGATATAACACTCTACCTCAGAGTTGTAAACGTGGCATGTCTTCCTCTCTATTCTGCATCCCCGACCGATTCATTAATTCCGCTCACTATTGCTCCTTTTCGTTTTGTTTTCCTGCATATGATAGCATAATTGTTAACTTCACCGCCTTTTTTTTCACAAAATGCAGGACTTCTAGTCCTTCCTGGGGAAGAAGAGTCAGCGCTGATCAAAGTTTTCTCCGCATACAGTACCTACTGCGGCGAGTAAGAATGAAAAATGAGAAAGAAGCGCACGTCAGGAGATGTCATGCGTGCACACACTCTACACACTACAATTTTGTATCATCGGAATTTTTAAAATCGCCATCGTTATGGAGTTGTACCTATCCAGAAGGGCGTTATTAATTTAAAAAAAAAAAGAAAAAAAAAACATTCTATCTTCTTCGTCTTCACCTTCGTCTTCATCTTCATCGTCGTAACTTCTCCTCACCGCCATCTTGCAGAACTGCAGAGTATGTAATGAGCAAAAGGTTGTGTGCTAATTTTTTGGCGACCTACTATTTGCTTCGAAAGAATGGGGAAAGCACAACGCAGGAGGACTTAGACGTAAGGACAGCGGAGATCTTGTTCACCGAAGGTAATCTCCCATGTGCACTCTTAACTTAATTGAAACATCGTGGTGACTCCAAATTGTGTTACTATGACGAGTACTGACTACCTGAAATTACACCCTTTAGTAGAAGATGATACAAGTTAGCCGACCTTTCCTCTTCGCAGTTTTGTATAAACGGGCGCATGTAGAAAAGACCAACCTGGAAGAGGGCGTACTGACCTACTTTTACTTCAAACTGGTAAGGATGGTCCAGCGAATGTGTAATAGGCGAGAACAGGACGCAGGTGTTTCGATCTCATTTGACCTGTTTTGATATGTTTCTATAGGTTTCGACATGTTTTGATATGTTTCGATATGTTTCGATACGATTAGACCTGTTTTTATACCTTTCGATGTGTTTATCATACGCACGAGGAAAAATCGTCAGTGAACAAAACGAAATTGAGCTAACCGAAATGAAATACACCCCCCTTTTTGCAGTTCCTTAGCAGATTAGGGAAACACCTGTACCCGCAGCTGGAAGAAAGGGAGGCGTTCCTAGAGATTGTATTGTAATGCACCTTTTTTTGAAAAAGAGACACTATGTGCATGTTGTAATTCGTGTTAGACGTACTTATCAGCGTGTCTCATCACCAGCTGACATGAACATATGATTACCAGTCACTTGTGTAATGCTTTTTTTTTTTTTTTTTTCTGGGATCATCCCTTTTCATAGAAATTACATACTAGTTATGAAGCGAAATGAAGACTTCAGAAATTGGAAGAAAAAAAGCATAAAGATAAAAAAAAAAAACAGAATAAGAATTGCCCGCTCAGACGACTTGAACCTGTTCGGGGACGACATCGTGGGAGGGTACACAAGCAGTGAAAAAGGAAAGACATGCGATAAATTAAAGAAGAAAAAGGAAAAGGTTGAGCAGAATACTGGCAGCAACACGAACAAGTTGCTGTCCGAAAGTGTAAAAATTGGAAATTTTCACACGGACCTCTCATTTGAATATATCGAATCCAATGAAACAAAAAAGAAGGGGAACAAAACTCGCCAAAACAGCCCAAAAAAAATGCGTGAAGAAGAGGTTAACCATAACGGCGCTAATGGTAATACTAATGGAAGTACTAACCTCACCACAAATGGTAACGGTAACTTTTTAAAAAACAAACTAATGTACAATAATTTGTTCCATTATGATGAAGTCCGTAAGGAGGGGCGCTCCTCTTTAGACTCAGTTCAATCAGATGACCTTGCCGTTGCGGAAAAAAAAAAAAACGCCGTCATGCAACCTTTAAAAATGAAGCATATCTTGACTTTATCGAGAAGACATTTCCGAAATGTTACGTCTTCCGACATGAAGCGAAATAGCAGTTTGAAGAATATGTTTCCTCTGTACGACATTGAGGGAGAATTGTGGCACTCTAAGTCAGAGAAGAAGAAAACGTTTCTGCCCCAATTTGGACGTGAGTAACTCAACCTTTGCCCTTGCGATTTGCCATGATCATTAGGAGTGGGTAGGCATACGCGGTATAATGGTTATGTATTTACGGGACTGCCGACGTGCAATGAATGGGGACCAAATATATCTGGACGTTTATACCTCTCCACCCACTCGTACAAAAAAAAAGCAACAATCAAGAAGAACTCGTTTATAAAAAAAACCTGTTTATGATAATTTTTAAAAAATCAACAAAATTAGAGGAGAAACTACCAATGGCAACGAAAAAAAAAAAAAAAAAACATACGGTGGAGAATAAAAAAACAACGCGTCTGGTGCAAGGTTAGCCTAAGAAGAACAACATCAAATCTCGAACTTGCTGAGCTGTCTTTTGTTAAGGTCCTTTTGCTGAAGCCATGTCATGCCCGAGGTCATCACGACCATTCTGAGGTGGTAAAGGAGCATGCAGTAAGGGATGAGCTCTTTGCAGTGCAGTGTAGTTATCACCCAGGGTTTCACCATCAGACGGCGGTAAGCATTGATCAGGGTGTCTCTTTTATTTCAAACTGGCTCGTAAAAAGACTTACATTATCATCGGCAGTATCGATATGATGTTTATTTCTCCGTTCCGCGCCGTTAGGAATATTGAAATCACCACGAAGATGACAACAAAAATGATTTCGATCACCTGCAGAGAGGGCAAAAAAAAGGGGTGATGGAATGCAAATGTACACGTAAGATATGCAAACATGTAACGTGTCTGCATATGCCTGCCCTGGTGCGTGATCATTAGCTCGTTTTGCTGGCGCCCTGGGGGAATGTTCAAGTGGAACATTTTAGCCCTTTCGAAGTGTCCCAGCAAACCTTGAAAAATACAGCAAGGAGAATTGCTAAAAAGCATAAAACGAGAATTCCTTCCAGGTCTCCAGAGTAAGTTTCATTTATATTAAATTTGTAAATCATCGAAGGGTCCTTCGGTTCTGCACCAAAAAAGGGAGAAATCATTTGATAATTAAAGGAGACAACGGCGGAGAGGTCAAAATAAGTCATCATAAGCTGTATAACCCTCTGTAGACTCATCACATTTAAAGATCATTCACTGGACCAACTCTCTGTTGCTTCCCCCGCGCAACGAACTGCCTAAAGTATCCACTCAATAAAGCGAAGAAAAGGTAGAAGTACTGCTAAATAGCGTACCAGCTGGGGTTACTACATTCAGAGGCATTTTGACTCATGTGCGTTTTAAGTGATGGGAGGTATATCCTCTTGGGGGTTATATTCAAGCGGTATGTCACAAAAATGCGACTTCGTAAGGAGAAAATTGGGGGAAAATAAGCAAATAGGCGTACAGGAAAAAAAAAGAGGAAATTCTCTTTCGCTGGTACGATAGCTAGTTTTTTAAAAATTAACAAGTCATCTTTGCAATTCGTGAGAAAATTGATGTATAATATTAGTCCATAATAGAATTCTTAACAACGCAGGAAATAATCGCATAAAAAAAAAAAAAAAAAAGTTGCGAAAAATGGGCAGCGTTATTTTTGTGTGACCTATTTTAAGGCAGCCGTTAGCGAAGTCGGCAGCGGGATAAGCCACGAATATGCGTAAGCATAAGCGTGCGTATATATATATGCAAACATCCAAACATTCGTGGATAATCACACGTTGCGCACATGCTTACTTGTGCGCACTGCTCAGAACAGGTTGTCAGAACCCCGCTTTAACTTTTTGCCAGAAAAAGTTTTAAGATAAAAACAAAAAGGCGACTTGTCCAAAAATACGCTTCTTTAAACGTGCCAATATATAAGTTGCCACTGCGCATTGCCGTGTAGGCACAATCCGAATGGCTACGAGCTTTACGTAAATGTTGCGCACAATTTTTTTTTTTTTTTAACTATATCCTTTGCCAACACCTTCTCCAAAGGGGAAATTAACACGTTTGGAATTCTTCCACGAAATTTAGGAAGACGCCCTTTTATCGCTAATTTATTAATCGCATTTTTTCTATTTTTTGATTCTATGGGGGGAAGGAAAAAAAAAAAGAAAATTCAGCCATGTGTAAAGACGCCCCACAATTAAGCCATACCTTCGCATTACCTTGAAGCACATTTCATAGCATACCAGAACGCGCCTCTTCTGGTTTAAGAAAATTCGTTCGTCCTTAAGCCTTTTTGTGTTTTTCTGCATTGTGGAGGTGGATGAGTGGCAAGAGGGTGCGTAAGAGGAGGCATGTGTTGATATGTGTAGGTATTACACATGCATAGGCACAGATACACTGCCGTTACAACCGTGTGTATCATTGGCCATGTGTGTTAGGTGCACATGGTTGGAATAGTCATCACTCTCTCCCTGCTGTGCTGACAACATATTTTTTCCATTTCAGATGTATTAAATTGTCGCTGTTTATTTTACGTCTTCCCGTGTGGATTCATCGAACGATATTTCCTCCAGCGCTTCGTTAATGACATTTATCCTGGAGGTGCACTGGTGAAAATTTACATGTACACATATGTGCATATGAACATAATGACCTGTATACTACATGAAGTGGTGAGAAACATTCGATCGCAACTTCGCGAATGGATCATTTGAAGAAGCAGGCATAAGCAGTGCAAACACAAGTGGGTGAGTGGTCCCAAAAGTGCATCTTTGTCGAGTTTTTTTTTTTTTTTTTTTTTTGTTTGCACTACAACGTTACTACTAAGCTATTGGTACTAATTAGTGTCATTTCGGAACTCCTTTAAGGGGATACCTTTTCTTCCATTTTTTCCGCGATGGCTAGCTCTTCAACGGCCTCTGCCTTATTGTTGCTTTTAATTTCTGTAGGACGAAAATTTTAACAAGTGCATTAATCAAGACGGTACGTCCCCATTCTGCGTCGGGCCAAGCGATAGGAGAATAATATGGAGCGAACAAACGAATGGTTAATAAGAAATGTTAGCTGAGCATTCGAATCATCTACTGTGCACATACATGCATGTGCATCATTACAGAGGGGAATCAAAAAATTACGTTAGTCTCATCTGCTTTTATTGTCACAAATAAGATGTGGTGTGGGAAGAGGTTACGTAACTCTACCTGCCAATTTCACAAAATGGGAAACTCTTAATAGTAAAGGCTTAGTGTGTTTAATGTCCCCCTCCAGATGCTTATATTTCTCGTAGTAAAATAATTCCCTTCATGTAGTGGGCATATGAATAATTTTTTTTTTTTTTTGCATTTCTCCGAAAAAGGGATTCAAAAAATGTGAAGCGCGAAACGTGGGAATAAACCGTTACACTAGTTTTTAACGCTTTAATGGAAAATTGCAGCATTTTAAGTCTTTCCTTTTTATCCCTCTTACTGTCTCGTTAGGGGCTGTGGAAGGACTAGTATAACTGGTGGCGAATACTTCCTTTCCCTTTTGGTTTCTTTTTCTTCACTGTTTAGAAACAAATTTAAAACATTTTCGTCGTTTGCATCTATAATTTCGGATTCGGCTTTAAGCCCCCGCTGCTTGGGGTTTTCTTGTTCTAGCAGCATCTGGAGCGGTGCGAGGAAGTAGAATTATCATCATCGTCACGATATGACCATCGTTGCCGTTAATTAGTTTTTTTTTTTCTTTTCACAAATAAAAGCGGGAGATTGATTAGACATCTGGATTTTTTTTTTCTTGTCGCCCACTGGGGTGTCCTTCTGAAATAGTGTTGACATCCCTCCTCACTACTCGTTTTTTTTTGTTTTTTATATTTTATTACATGTTTGTTCTCAGCAATAATGCGCAGTAGCTCCTCCGCTATTAGGAAAAAGGTGAACGTGAAAGCGAAGATAAGGATGAAGGTGTATTTAGAGATTTGTGCAGATGATAACCTCACAAATTGCAGGAGAAAATGCATCTCTTTTTACGGGTGTGGAATATCAAGCCCTACCGGTGGCGACAACATTGTGATACTCGCTGTGCTTTTCACCCTGCCAAGTTGAACGTGGAAAATTTTCTCGATGAATGATGTTCCGTTTTTGCCTCACTCATTTGGGATGGCAAATGTGTTTTCACCATTTGATCAAACCGTCTAACTCAGTATGCTTAAAATACTTACCACCAAATCGACACCGTCCCCTCTGAGCGAAGCATCATTCACCGTGCGAGGTCTGTTAACAGCTACAAAAACCTTCGGGGGGGGAACTAAGGGTAGGGAGGATAATTGGGCGTCAGGTGTGGAGACACATATAAAAATGATGGATCGCTGAACACAGCAGCCGCGGGGGATGTGAAATTGTTTTGCGCATGATGATTAGAGGAAGGTTTGTATTAGCGCTTTGGATTTCGCCACGTTGTCACTTTTCGGCTTTTCCAATTTGCCGCTTTTTCAATTGTCTCATTTTCCAACTTTTCGTCAATTCCCCCACTTTTCGCAACGCCAGGTACCCCGGGGTGCCCTCTAGCGTGGAGTGATAGTACCAACTAAAATTAAATCGCAGCAAAGGGTGAATACAACTATTTAAAGGCGCTTACGCAGCACTTATTATGGTCACTTACTCCAGTCGCTCGGGTGCAGCCCCTTCGCACGTTGCTCACCAGTTTGACCAAAAAGGGTCTCAAAGAAGAAGAAAAGGAAGAAAAGCAGAAGAAGAGCGCGGTTCATCTTTTCTTTTAAAAAGTGGAATAATTTGCACAATGAACAAAGAAAGATAAAAAGGAATGAATAAAAACGTGAAAACACAAAAATAATTATTTACTTATGTACCAAATTTTAGTGGATCCTACCAAAGGTGTGCATCAAACGGGTTAGTTTGTGATCATAAGTTTGCACTGACAATTATTTTTCCAAACGTTACTGTGTTGTGGAGGATGTCGAAAAGAATGTTTCCTTTCCTGTAATAGGGGATACTAATAAGTGGACCTTAATCTGAGCAAACGATTTTTAAATCTTTACTAAAAGCTGCTAGTCATGTTTTCCATTGAGGCTATTTTTCAGCCATTCTGCCAGTTCTATAATTTTTTTTTCTTTCCCACCCCTTCCAATAACCCGCGGTGTGTATGTACATGAAAAAGGGCAAGTAGGAAAATCGGGCAGACTTAAGAACGACAAAATCGTCCATACGTTTCAAAATTTTTACTAAATAGTGACAGTTACTACTATTCTTTATCATAGCTCCCAACATGCGTAATGGTTCCTTTCTATGCATTCATTAAAAAAAAAATTATAGTGTAACAGGTATGACCACTATTCTTTTGTGAAAATGGAATAATTTCAATAAATGTGTGTATTGTTCCTGTCGCAGATGTTTACAGGAAAGCGTTCCACATTTCAGATATGAAGCGGTAAGTGAATAGTGGGACAGAATACTTCCCTGCGTGTAATGTTTCGCCCCGTTACGCCTAGCAAAATGGCACTTCTCAAAGGTGCGCACTTGTTCTATAGGTAAGGGTGGAGATGAGCACACATTCGACACAAATGTGCATAACGCGGTACTTGTAAAATATGCAGTTCTTTTTTTTTTTTTGATAAATATTCATTTTCCTGTTAGAGTTACGCATGGTAATTGTGTGTCTGCCGCTTCGGCAATTTTTACCGGTGCCGATTCATCTCATGCAGTTAATTTTGCTCATTGGAGGGTGAAAAAAACGGGGCATACACATGCATACTTATGTGTTCGTAGATACGTATAGGCTACCTACCCGATTTCGAGGGGGAGGAAAAAACTCCCCTTCTCGTAATTTTATTGTCACCATTTAGACTGCAAATTGTACGCAAGGAACGAAACGCCCTTCTATACGGACTTAAAATTAGCCCCTTTTGATTTTTACCCCACCCAATGTTGCATCGCGCTAAACGGCAGGGTAGCCACCGCAATATGTGCACAAAAGCGAGGGTTGGAGAAATGCTCAAAAGTGCGTTCAATTTTTAAAAATGCATGTACTTTCGCAAAAACAAAAAATAGAAACCTTCTACACAACAATGGCGTAATAATTAATTTACCTCAAAATAAATAATTATTTATTAAAAAATAACGCAACGCTGTGAGTTCTCTTATTTTCTAAAAAAATCACATTGGAATTAAATTATCGCGCAATGGTGGCAGTAATCTGCTATTTTTTTTTTTTTTTCTTTTTATAGACCTGTTGCGAGTTATTCCATCATTATTAATTATCTTTAATATGTGAGGTCACTTAGATGGTGTAGTAGGAATAATTCCCACCGGGTTCTCTAAAGTGTAAAATGTTAACTTTTCCTTTTTTTTTTTTCTCACAAATGTGTGTGCAACTTCGAGACCCCACTTCACGACCTTCCTCAGATTGTTATTTTCCTCTACCCAAAAGGGCTAGCTCTATTTTTTTTCACAACAAATTGTTAAATAAACCGAACTAACATCCTAAAAGGAAATTAGTTAAGTCCAGTTCGTTTTATGCGGGAACTATAGAAGAGGAAAAAAAAAAAAATACAGAGTTGTTCAAAATTGCTATTTTATTTTTTTTTTTTTTTTTCTCCGCCCCCTTTTTTATTTAACCGATTTAAAATTTTTCTTGCGAGCGCTTTGCCTTAATTTGCCGGAATGCTGATTGGTGAGAAAAAATCACCAAAAGGGAAAAAAAAAAAAAATACATGTATATATGAATATATATTATATGTATATATGTATAAAGAAAAATGAAAATATTTGAGGAAAAACATCCCGAATTGCTACATTGTGTGAACATAAAACTTCACGCACAATTATGCAACTTTTCCTTTGCCCTCATGATGCATAAGAACACGCAAACGCCAAATGCAGCACTATTCGCGACCTATGCATATGCGCGAACGCTCACACGGAGATGTATGTGTACACTATGCTTCCAGTTGTACAGTATACCTGCAACTACTCACTTTCGCTAAAGTTTTATACGCAAAGCGAAGAAAACAGAAACAAAATGGGAGCATCGCCAAAAATAACTGCAGTGTGTTCCACTAATCATTAAAAAAATACATTGGGTCAAAAAATATCTCATTTGACGCACAGCATAGAGTAAGTATTTACGCCCGTATGTAACACAAAAATGCATATCTTTTACTGCGTAAAAAAAATGGACACGTCGCATTTTTAATTAAATTGTTTATAAATTTGTTTCCCTCTTTTGTTACACGTCCATGCTTAGCGCGCGTCACACTTTTCCATTTACAATGTACAAAATAGGCCGCATGCCCCAGACGGCCCCCTACGTATGTACAGGTGAACGAACGTCTGTGCCAACATGCCAGTATGCAAATACACGTGCACATAATCACAGGAAGGTGTATTGAAGCATCTTGCTACTGATCACACTTTGGTCCAATTCGTATGTCCTTCCCTCCCCCCAACAACTACCCCCACCGTTTTCACGTCCCACGAAATGTGTCAATATATATCCCAAAATGTTCTTCATGCAATCGAAATAGTTTCACCACGCTTATTATAACACTTTTACATTTCTCTTATGGACGTTACATATGCATGAATTGAATAAAATTTGAGTTAAGAAAGGATGAACTTTTTTTTTCTGTTTTTTCCATTTTCATATCACATAACAGATTTATCAGCACCTTTTTTTTGCTCTTTTCCCTGATTTCATAACTCGCAACTAGGAATTAATTAAAATAAGCCTGCTGTGTGTGTGTCTAATAATGTCTATATAGAGCGCACTAACGTATGTAGCTATTTGACCTTGTAACCATTTCCGCTCCCCCTTTCATTTATTTTTTTTTCATATTTCTGTGTATGCCTGATTGTATGTTTGTGTAACATGTCACGTATTCACAAGAAGGTGATAGTTGTTTGGAGTTTTATCCTTTTCGCATTTGCTCAGTCACCTCTCGGAGAGAGAGTACTTCACATTCTCAGCGTTTACATCATGCTGCATCTGCATCGCGATTATTCCATAAGTAATTTTTCATTTTCTTCTCATGGGAATGCACGTGTAATCTCCCATCGACCCCCTACCTCTTTTTATTTGAATAAAAAGAATTGTTTGTGTCCTCAAATGTTTAAGTAAACGAGTGGGAGATAGAAGACTCCCTTCGCCCTCTTTCCCATGCAGAAAATATGTTCGGGACAGAACCCAGACATGTTCAGCTTGAGAGATCTTGGGTGAGAAGATTGTCCCATTTTTCATTTGAAAGGGGTTTAATTGAATATACGCACATATCTAATTTCAGTTTTCTTTGTTGATAAGTGGATAATCAAGTGGTTTACCGCTGAGTGACAGACTCTCTTTTTTTTTTTCCGTTCCACCAGTGTGTACAGCAAGGGGATTAAAGCTAGACCATAGCTGCTACTGGAAAATAAAGCATCCATCCTCGGTCATGGCAAGCAGAGGCATGTGCACATGTGTGTAGAATGTATGCACGTGTAGAAGCTAGGTTAACGAGTTTAACTCTTTCGTTACTCTACTTTTCATCTGTTCTGTAATCACCCTATCTACTTTCAGTCCTGGTAAGTCCCAACATGAGTATCTCCCCAATAAAGTACGAATCGAAAATCTTAAGCAACTTGGCCAGCATGCTAAAGCTTAGCGAAAAAACAGACAAAGAAATATGGAACGAAATAAGGGAAGAGAAGGAACAGCTCAAGTTCGAGATTGACGAAGACATAAAGAAGGTCATTGATGTTAACAAAATTAACTGTACCTGTGATGAATCAAAAAAAAAAATGGAAGAATATGAAGGGAAGAAGTTTGAATATTATTACAATGTGGAGACATATGGGGTCGATTTCTTCCTAGACATATGCAATGCTCTAGGTAGGGCTAACTACAAACCATTTCTATCAGAACAAGGGAAAAAAGAAGTTATGAATGGATTAAGAATTAGAAGAAATTCCAATTTGTATAAGTATGTCTCCTTTTTTTTAAGTAAAGAAAGACTAAATAAGGAGAGACTAAATGATGGAAAAACACCGGAACATATCTTCCACTGTTTTAAGTGCCTAAAAAGTGTACTACATATATATGTGGATGATCAAAATAATCGGAAGAGGAAAATGTATCTACAGGATAACAGATACATCACAGAACAAATAGAAGAGAAAATGGAAAACGACTCACTTAGTGAGAATCAACAAAATAGCAATGCGAATCCTCTCAACTTAAGGGACGGAATAATAGCCGTGAGCAGATACAAAGAGGAGTTAGCGTCCATAACTAGGAAGTCAAATGAAAGAATTATGAAAACTATTTTGGATCATTCGAAGGATATGAAGGGTGGGAAAAATGGAAAAATACACCTCTCCCATAGTACCACCCAAAATATAGGTAAAGACACCTGCATTAATGGGGATAACCACTCGAGTAGTCATCGCCAAAAACTGAACGGAAGTAACTCCTTCGAGGACAACAAGCGTTACAAAACGTCAGGATTTTTCGACGAACACGAATTAAAGCGTTTTAGCGACTCCGCCAACAGCTTTTCCAATGACGGAGAAGCAAAAAGTAAACACAAAAATGCGAATAGTAAAAAAATGAGCAACTTGAAAAATAACCCGGTGACAAACAATTTCATACAAAAGAAGGGATCATCGGGAAACTCATTTCTGAGTAAGGACAGGGAAAGACAACGGAAAAACTCGCAAAGAAGCAGGAAAAATAGACACAACACCAGCTCGAGTAAAAACTCGGGCTCAGTCAAGAAAAAGAACCCAGGTGATATTATGATCTCGGTCGATGCAGACGTGAGCGGGGTGTCCGTACCGGGGGGTGATCCCAAGGGAGGCAGTAAACCCGATGGGGATGATGGCCAAATGGGAAAGGCCCAATGTGCAGAGTTTCACTGTGCAGAGGTTCAATGTGCAGAGTTTCACTGTGCAGAGGTTCAATGTGCAGAGTTTCACTGTGCAGAGGTTCAATGTGCAGAGATTCAATGTGCAGAGATTCAATGTGCAGAGATTCAATGTGCAGAGGTTCAATGTGCAGAGGTTCAATGTGCAGAGGTTCAATGTGCAGAGCCGAAATGTCAGGAGACCTCATCTGAAGAGCTCCACTGTGAAGATGCCCAAACATATGCACCTGCACTGGAAGTGATCGTCCAGGAGAATGAAACCCCCGGTGAGTTGATTCAAAGTGGAGCCGTGAAACACGCCCAATGGGAGAAGAAGTTGAATGGAGAGGGGGAACGGGGCAGCTTAACAGATAAGCACGCCATCTGCTCAGCCGAAACGAAGATACCCACCGGGGAAAACGAATCAAACTCGAAAGACAGCGCGTCGGACGAAGCTGACAAGGAGAGTCACCAATATGACGTGTATCAAAAAACGTCCCTCGTGAAAAACCCATCCAATGAGGAGGAAGACTACAACTTCAACGAAAGCGACGACGCTTCCTACTCCACAGATGATTCGAATTATAAAAGGTACATGGCGAAGAAGAAGACAAAACTGCAACAAGAAGGAAAAATAGTCATCGACCTGAATATACTAAACGGAAATGCAATCAACGCGTTGGAGGAAAAGGAAAAGGAAGAACAAATTGAGGAAAAATACAAAGAGAGATGTCAAGAAAAACAGCAAGGAAGGATAAGAATGGATACAATAAGGAAAGCATTAGAAGAGAAAAAAATGATTTTCTGCAAAATAGAAGAGATAGCAAAAAGGCGAAATAAAAAACATGTAAAAACGCAAGTATTGTCGGAAGACTCCAAAATTCAGAGAGCTTATTTTAGTCATAAAATGAAAAAATTCTATAATTCAAAGTCCGGATATTTTGGTTGTGGTTGGTCGAATAACAGAACTCAGTGGACTCCATTTATCCATGCCCCCTTTTTTGATAATCACCATAATACTATATATAAAACTAGGAATAGAAAAATGTACGAAGAAATATACGACACTTTGTTACATGGGAGGATCCACCCCTCTGTTAGAATTGTCGAATTGAAGGATCACAAGCATCCTGTGCGGTTATGCACTCCGTACTATGAAGATTGCTATTCAGTCGTTTACACGGGGAAAAAAATCCTCGCATCGGATGACCGAGTTATTTTTGGCGAGTACACTGGTTATGTTGCGAACAACAGGGAGCTATCGCAGGAGAAGCACCAATACACGTTCGCCCTATCCTTCAACAAGAAAGTTTTTAACGATAGAAAGAATGTCGTTTTTATTAATGAGATTGAGTCGGACGAGGAGGGTGAGCTGAAAGGGGGCAGCCTCCACGGGGGAGAAGCGAATAGGATATTAACACAGCCTAATAGCAGCAACCATTGCGAATATGCCACGAAGTTGAGCAGCGAAGAAACCTGTTCGGATGTTCAGAAAATTTGTCAGAAAACAGCTCTCAGAAACGGTGGTACAAATACAAAGGGCGGAGGAACTCCCACGGACAATTTGGCTACACCACAATGTGAAAATTCGACACAGAGTTCCACCAAAGAGAAGAAAAAATCTAAGGAACTGAATAATAAGATAATTCTGCCAGATAATTACACTTACGCTGTGGACTCGTCTTACATGTTCAACGAAATGTCACTAGTCAATCATTACAAAACATGTGCCATTTTTAGCAATTACGATTTTAGGATAAATGCGGAGTGGCAATTGGTTTACCTTGATGGGTGGCCACACATCATTCTCACATCCATCCCAGGAGTAGAAATAGACACAGGAGAAGAAATCTTCGCGGATTTTGGCTCCGAATGGTTCGAAAGGGTTAACGAAATATGTCTGAATGAGTTTATTAAAAGCAGCTATGCATACCGATTGAGCAAGTTAAATCTTTGTAAAGAGAAACATTTCAGTGGAGTAGATGACATCGTGGAGCAGTACAACTTGATAAAAAATCACACCACGTGCAACATATGCATGCACAGCATCAACACAGATAGTAGTAACGGGTTTATTTCTTGTTCGGGTTGTAATCATATCTATCACTTACAATGTGTGCAAAAATTAAATGCAGAAGTGAACGAGAATTACGATTGGTTCTGCTCAAGTTGTGTCAAATTCTGCATCAATGTGCTGGATCAGGAAGAGTTCTTGGCCTACCTAGAAATGGAAAACCACAAACAATTGATCGACCTTTTTAGTGATATGTGTGTAGAAAATTCAAACAAGTTATGCAAGTTGTTAGCCCCACAAGGAAACAATACCCCCTTATATCAGACCGACGGGAAGAACACAAACCGAGTGACTGGCAACTCTAACTGTACTAATCAGTATGAGAAGATACGGAAATTATTACAGTGTAGGGAAAATATTATCGACTTGGTGAGGAATAAAGAGATAATTAACTCCTACTTAGAGACCACCGAAAAGGAAATAAATTCTCTAGATAACACACAAGAGGAGGAGGATTTGTCCCTTAAGAAAGACGAAATGGAGTTTCTGCTGCAAAACAGCTTTGAACTCCACCTTCTTGTTGACTATAAAAAAAAAATCGATGATTTTCTGGTAAGCAGGGACAAGGTAGACACCTTCGTCAATGACGAAAAGGCCAGGAACACCATGAAGTTGAGGAAACAAACCATAAACTACTTGTTAGAAAATAGGAAATGTATAGAAATGCTAATCGACTCGGTGGAACAGAGCACTCTCATTGTGTTTCCTCACAAGGAGCGAACCATCTGTACAAAGGTAACCACTGGTCTCACAGTTGCACACAAGGAGGAGGTTCACCGTTCGGAAGAGGACACTACATTGAACGGGCTCAAGGAGGAATTGCCGCAGGAGCATAACCTCGGAATACAAAAATGTGACCCAAATTTTAGTACGGGGGAAAGCCTCGGTTCAGGCTCTACCGCACACACGAATGGAACCTCTTGCAACTCGTACGAAACGATTTTGTATAATAAGTCCAACTCTGTTGTGAAGAATTTAAAAGATATAAAGAAAGCTCCCTCCTTTGGTGGTGTCATAAGCGATGCAGTTAATTGTTCAACATCCAGCAGCAACAACACGGGTGGCAACAAAATCCTCTGCTTCAACAACATGATGAAGTTGAGCAAGAAGATCTTAGGATTTCCCTTGTTAACAGATTTCGAAAAGGGAATGAGTACCAACCAGCCGTGTCTTCCCCTGAGCGATCACCTAAAAAAGCTCTCTGTGTGCACCGTTTGTTATGACAAGCATAATGACTTGGCTAAGGCCATTATATGTAGAGTTACCAAGATGCACTTTGAGGCTAACTACAATGATGGGTTGAGCCAAGAAGACATGTCTAAGGCCTCCAGCGAATGCATCCAGTCAGTCATTCGCGAATTGGCTAACACGATAAAGGAGTACCGAAAGAGGGAACTGAGCGGGGCGTACGTACAGGAGGTGATTCTCAGTGGCAGTAGCAGCTATAGGAGCTACAGCATCAGCAGTTATAGCAGCCATGGCGAGATCAATGCCGATAGCGCGGTAGCCCCATTAGCTGACGACCATAACGACATCGGCTCAGAAGATCATTCACCGAGTTCCGTCCGTAGTCGGAGAAAAATAGTCCACCCAGTCAGTTCCAGCCTAACACTTCCACCCCAGAAACCATTTTATGACATGATGAGCGACCCTCCATGTAGTGACAGGCGCCAAGGGGATACAGAAACCCCCGTTGAGAATAAAACACCTCCCCTGTTATGGGACAACAAAATGAGTTATACGGACGATTATACCTGTAAGAGAGGGAAAATGAATTCGACGCTGGATAAACACCCTCATGAAGAATACAAAAGTAGCAGTAAGAAGAAATCGAAGCTTTGTACGAAGGCTTCTAACAACGTGATCGGTGGAGAAAATGCCGATGCCTTAAATGGGGGGACGGATAAATCGGAAAATACAGACAAGGGGAAAGCACAGGAAGGGGGAAAAAACGGTCCTAGTTACACATCTCATAGAGGGACAGATCAGCACCCGCGCAGTGATCCATGTAAGGATCCATATAGACATTACTCCAATCATCCATACGTTGGCCCGCATGCCCAGCAGAACGCGCAGCCCAGCAAAGTTGAGAACCAGAAGGGGGACAAAAATCACATCTATTTTGCAGACGGAAAATTGGGTGGCACAAAGGAGGCGACGAATGATCAAAAGGGGAACTACAGCACGTTAAAAAATATTTCCAAAGCGAGGAATTTCATTCCGCTCATGGGAGTTGAACTTGGGAAAACAAAGATTCAGAGGGAATTTACAAATGGAACTTATGTAGGGACAATTACGGAGCAAATAAAGGACGAAGATGGAAATCCATTTTTCGTTGTGACGTATGATGATGGGGACGAGGAATGGATGACGCCCTGCTTCCTATTCCAAGAATTGCTAAAGCAGTCAACAAACAGTGTAGAATATCCATTAGCGAGTACGTTTAAGCAGGTATTAAACCCGGAATTTAGGAAGGACTTAAAATTAAACAATTGTTCCCTCGAATTAAAAATTGGAATACGAAAGAGGACTATCAATTGTGAAAGTGCTAGCAACAATAACAGTGTCACCAAAAGACAGAAGCATGCGCACGAGGGAAATTCCTCAAGGAAGAAGAAGTAACGATTTTCACGTTACACAGTGTTGCGCGTGTGGCGTGTCAGCCGTTACTGCCCGTCGTATAGCAGGGCCGAATAGCACGATCCGTTGAGAAGTGTAAAGCTCAAAATAGGCCGAAAAGGCCGAAAATTCGTTTTAAAAATCATAAATTTGGTGCCTTTTACATTTTATAGAAACTTCAAAATGTGAGAAAATGTTTTGCGCATGTCATTTCGTAGGAAGATATGATTTTAATAATTATTTTTTCACTCATAAATAGTGTATTTTATTTTTTTTTTTTGGTTTATTCATATTTGTTTCTTTTGCCTTTCCCCCTCACCCACCCCCTCTTTTTTTTTTTTTTTTTTTGTACATTCCAAAAATTTACAATCATAGTTAGCCCTACCGGAAAAGGGAGAAATTTGAAATATATAATAATCACGTCAAAATGACATTCTTATTTGAAGCAATAAGTTGAAGGGGTGTGAGAAATTGTACACACAATACACATTACGCAAAGTACGCGCTTGATGACGGAGCACTGCTAAAATGTGGAATTAAAAAAAAATACGTTTCTGGGAAAAAGAAATAGAGATTCTCTCGTATTTTTTGAGGAATAAAAAATTGGTAAAATTTTTCTAAAACTTTTTAAATATGCGTTTAAAATCTTTTTAAAATGTTTGCGATTTATTCCATTTTTTTATTCTTTAAAAAAAGCGAAAAAAAATTGAATTGTTCTCAAAAATGTGTAGAACAAAAAATTAGTAATTTGCATATGCGGAATGTTTTATCACGCCATCGTATGGTTGTGCATTCTGGGAAGGCAAAAATTTACGGTTATCCTTTTTTCTTTTCCTTTTAAATGGTGTTTTTTCTTGGAAAAATTGTTTTATTTCATTATCTTTTCCTTTATTACTATATTATGCGCCTTATTCGTTGCACAATTTAATGTTGCTAAAATGTTTTTTTTTTTTTAAATAAACTCTTGAATTAGCCGCATTACTATTTTTAGCGGAATTTTTTTTTTTTTTTTTCAATTTTCACTTCATCCCAGAGAAGGTGCATATCACTTGTGACCATTTAAAACCCCCCCTAGCATGTTATCGGCATACGCGCACCCCCTTGTTGGAATGAAAATAATTAAAATCGTAAAAGTCGCGGAACACACACTGTTATAATTTGTTCGTAAAGATATTCATGCATTCGATTTCTTCTTATAAGTGAAACGTTTCCAATGGATACTTTAGGGACTTTGTATTTCACCTTTTTAGTAATTTTTTCGTTTTTTGTACAAATTAGTTGTAATAAAATATTTTCGCCTTTTTCGTGAGAAACCACTCAGGCGGAAAATATACCAAATGATGATAATTGAAAAAAACTAGCTTAGATGAAATGAAATGTTGCCCAAAGGGGTTCATTCGAGTTACCAAATTAAGCATGGGGAAACGTTCTCTTTTATTTCGCATGAATTGGCGAAACCTCATGTCTTTTCCTCCTTTTATGCGCAATGAGGGAAAAAAGCGAATGGTGAATGTAGCGAACTCGGCGCATTTGGCGAAATTTGAAAAAGAGACTAATTTAATTAATTTTTGCGCTAACGAATGGGGGAAATTAATCAATTGCGCATTCGTAGATTGGCAACTTTGGCGAACTTTGCATTTACAGTATCTGCAAAATAATTCATTTTGCATTTCTAAATTACTAATTTGTAATTAATTTTATTCTTCTCAATTTCGCATTTAGCGTTGTGCAAAATTCATTCTTTCCGCCCTCTTCGTGCATTTTCGCATTACGTTTATTTACCTCATATGTTTCCCCCCCCCTCGCGAACTAGCGCATTTTGCGCCGTTTCGCGCAATTATACTCAAATTTCCATAATTTCCACTTTTTCTCACCGTTTTACCAAAATTGCAATTTTCGCGTCTGTCCTCTGTAACGCATAAAATTGTTTACGCAATCGTCTGTCGCATATGGAAAGCGAAAAAAAAAAATAAAATAAATAAATGAACAAGGAAGGAAAACAAAACAAATGTTTCAGTAAGAATTTCACTTCCGCTCCGCACTGCATTTTTTTTTGGATCAATTTAGGCAACATAATTTTTCTCAGTTTTCACCTGCCACTGCGAATTGTCCCTCCAATAATTATTACTTTTTTTTTTCCTTTCTTTAATTTAATGATTATCAATGGAAGAATAACTGCCGCTGCGGAGGCTATTATCACAATTGTGCACATTTATGGGGATTATACACCTTGGCAATGGTACCAATTCCATTATTTTTCCCAACTTTGATAAAATTGTGCATTTGATTCTTATTTTGATAATCCCCACGTGGCAATATATTGGCAGTGCTAGGACGGGTTGCGGTGTGCGTTATTGATCGTTCAGTCAGCATTATCCCTTATGTTGGCATTGCTTGCGACGCTCCTGATACTAATAAAGTTGCAGTAGTACGTTTTTAAGTGCTTCGATGTATCCCTTCTAAAAATTCGCTAAGTGTTTTACTCCATCTTACTAATATAATGTTGTGTTTCTTTTTTTTTTCATATCTCGTCCCTCAGCCAAATAACATTTTGGGCACAGTACAATTTGTTCTTTTAAAAAAATTACAAACATTGTGAATGTAATGTTTCTTACCCCTTTGAAGATTTGTCATTGAGAATTTCCCTACCTTTCTGTGCATTTCCCAGTTCGAGCAGTACGTGTGGCGTTTGGTCCATTTGATATACATGCAAAAAGAAAAAGGAATGAGAATGAAAGCAGGCGGGAAAAAAGGAAAATTACTATTATGTTTTTTCCTTAACCAAATAAATTAATCAGAAATCGTGAATTTTACTTTGTTAAACGAATGAAAACGTTTTTGAGTTAAAAAAGAAAGTTGTGATACATTAAATATATGTTCATTTATTTATTACATTTTTTATACGTGTATATATAAATATATATATTTTTTCTTGTAGATATGAGTGACGTATTATCGGGGGGTGGAAAATTTGTAAATTAATTAGAAGTATAATTTCTTTAATTTATCATTTTGTAAAAAATGTTTATATAAATTTTTTCTTTTTCTCTTCTTTCTTTTTACGTGTTTTATTCATTTTGTAACGTATTGTATTATTTTATTGTAACAAAAAATGTAATTAGAAACAACGAATTGCATTTTTAATAAATGGAAACACACTCTTTTCTCCCTCCGTTAAATAAAAGTGGGAAAATATCGTTACAGAAAACCAGGTGCAGTTAGAAACGCGTGTATATTTTTTGTGTTCGAATTAGTAAATGCGCCACGAGGAATATATAATGCGCTAAATAGGATTATATGCGCGTTTAGTGCATAAAAGAATTAGTCGCATGAAATGTTATAAGCGAATTAATGGTATGATTAAATCAATAAAAGAATTAATTGCATTATATGCTTCATTCGTGTCGTTTTTTCTTAGTATTCGTTTTTTTTCCCATGAAGTCGAATAATTCACCCTAGCCCCACACCTTTTTTCGTCCCCAAAGCATTTGATGGAGGAAAGATAAAATAATTATTATTATGTCTTCCAAAGAAGAACAAATGTGACGTAACCTCCTTTATTTCCAGTTTTCCCCCGTGTAGAGCAGGAGGTTGGGAGAAACATAGTAGAGCTAAAAGTGAGAAAAAAAAATTACTCGATTGTATTAAACTTAAAATAAAAAAATGGGTTCCAATTAGTTCTAATTTTAACGTAGATTATTTTAAAATGTTCTAGAAAAAAAAAAAAAAAGAGAAAAAGGAATCTGATTTTTTTTTTTTTCTTGTTTTATATTTAATTCTATATCTATTTTAAAGGAAGCAATACCCACGTTCCATACGTTTTATGTATATTATTTAAATGCCTGGTCCCAGGACATTGCAAGACGCCTGAGCGAATTATTTTAAGAGTGCAGTTGTGTATTTTTTCTGCCCTTGCTCTTGAGTAATATATTCTACGCCTGTATAAAAATACAATGTAGTGCGACAATACGTCATAAAATATTTACAAGTACGTGAAAGCATAAGTTTATATTCGAAAACAGGTGTTCACTTTTCACGACGGATATGCTTTCTCTGCGCACAGGTAAATGTACAATTGATTGCTTGGCGTGCTTCCGTGACTGCTTCCTGCTTTCTACATTTAAGCAACATCGACTGGGTGCCTTTTATTTAAAAGCTGCCTACGATTAGTATTCGTAATGCACAACATAATATCCCTTTCTAAAATGAAAAACGAAATAACAAAGTGAGTGGAGGAGGTGCAGCGAAGTAACCGGTAAAGTACTGCAACGTAGCGCAAAATAGAGAAAAATTGCGAAAGAAATGGCATAATAATGCAAAGTCATGCGTATGCAAAGTACGACAAACTATTGCAAAATGTAGCAAAATAAAAAAATGTACCACGCCAGCATTTTGCAAAAGCGCCATAGATCATTTTTTTTCTTGAAGCGTTTTTTTAAATTGTAGTTTTTATCAAGTGCGCAGCATATGGCGGATTACCCATCTGCATTCACATTATGCTAAAATCTTTTATTTTACCAATTACCATTTACCAACTAGTAATTTTCTAATTGACATATTTAGTTTCCACTCTTTTTCTCATTATATAGATGAAAACAAAGGGAAAAAATTGACTGGTAGGCATATATATGTGTTTACGTACGTATATGTATAAACTATTTGAGCATTTCTAAAATAAAAGAATAAATGAATAAACGAAAAAATAAAGAAAAAACTAATTTTTACGTTTATTTTTGTAGATTAGTTGTGCACAATTATCCATCTTAATGTGTATATGATGCCCATGTAGTAAAATATACCCACATGTGCCATTGGGGGAAAACGCCAAAAGGAGAAAAGACCCATTCCAGTTCGTGGAATTGCATGATTTAACGGGATAGTTATCCTTCACATGTATTTTTGTCACCCATATCACCACGAAATTTAGTATCCTGTGCACCTTCCATACAACACAAGTTAGCAACTTTTTAAGCTACCTTTTGGGAACCCTGATAAGGCGATTCTGTACCGATTGCATCCCCCATGTGTGACAGCCCCGTAGTAATGGGACGATTTATTTTTTACACGAACGTAACCATACAGCCGTTACCAACAGGCGTCACCATACAGGCATGACTGTACTGAAATGACCGTGGTGACATTACCGTAATGAAACATAACCATCTTAATTGTAACATTAGGGGAACGAAGTTGTATTATTTAAAATTTAAACCCGGCGAAAATATTAGGACGAAAAAATAGGAATCAATATTTTTATGATCTTTATGGAAAAAGCACAGCTGGGCGGGGGACAGAACCAAAAAGAGTTGCATCCCGTTTATAGTAGGTTTGCGTTTGCGCCATTGCGTTCCTTTACGTGCCTTTAAGTAAACCCTTACGCAAACGTCTGTGTACACGTTTTCAATTTTTTTTCCTTATCGTAATGACATAACTGCATTTAATGGGCATAGCTCCTTAATAATTAAATTTTTCGTTTTACGAAAAAGAAGAAACCCTTTTGTCCCAATAGATTAATTTTACTTCATACAATTACTATTTTTGTTTTTTTACCGTTTACTTTTTATTAATTTACACAAGAGAAGCAATATTACTAGATGAAAGAGAGGAAGATACAAAGAAACCAAGTTTCGGAAATATATTCGAATACAGGTTGATGATATACATACGATCCTTCGTACGTACGTACATTTGTACGTTCTTGTTTGTACTATGCCCTTATGTGAGACGGATACCCACTATATGTAGTACATACATGAACCTTAGAGCACGAGCGAATAAGTCGTTCGCCTCGCGCGTATGTTCCAGTATATGTCCGGCGGCAGTACAGTACAGCTTAATACCATAGCTTACCAGTTAACATTACGCTTGGCGCTTAGCAGGGAACGCGCGGCTCGTTTCCCGCCTGTACACATCCGTATGTTCTTGTGTACACCCCTGCACATGTACAAGGGGGATGTGGTATTCGAACTCTTCTGACGAATACGGTATGTGCCTGTACATATTCGCATACACATGTAATGCCACCCTCCTGTACAAGCTTATGTGTACGCATGCCTCCCTTCCTAAGCACGCATCCAAACATGTATACACCACACACGTATGCAAACGGTCGTGTTGCGTACTTTTTTTCACGCGAGGCAAGTTGTGGCACGTGTTGCGATACCTCACTGTGACATATATGCCGAAGCGGGTTGCGCCGCGTATTGCCACACGATGCAACGCGTATTGACAAGCGTATAAATTTTTAAACATTTCCATAAATAAATATTTATATTTATTTATGCATTAGCTATTTATCCATTAATTATTTATGCATATATTATTTATGCATTTATATATTTTACGTTGGTACACCTATGCGTATATATGTATACACTTATGTACACATATATATATAAAATTTTACGCATTATGCGCGAGAAATATATATATTGACAGAAAAGAAAAATATGCGGGTATCCTCGTACGTACTGCTATATAAATGACGCATTTTTTAATATATATATTTTTATATATATTTTTTATATATTTATAATTTATATATAAGGGCGTAAATATCATATATATTGCAAAGATTGGATGAAATATTCTTTCGTGGTAAAATACAAGTTGCTTTTTTTCAAATGTATTTTTTTTTTCACATGAAAATATTAGTAAAAAGAGCACATATATTTTACAGAAAAAATAAAAATACAATACAGATTATATTTTTAGGAAACAAAAAATAAATAGTACATTCATATTTGTATTCTTACGAATGTGTTAATTTAATTTAACCCTATTTAATTTTATTTAATTTAATTTTTTTTTTCTTTTTTGAAAAATTATACAAGAGAATTTTTTTTTCTTTTTTTTTTCTGGAAGTTTTAAAAAAAAATATTTTCACAAGCCGCAAAAATAATCTTAAGAAAAAAAAAAGAAGAGATATATTATATATATTTTTTAAATATTTATAAAAATATTTAGATAAACGAATCCATATTTTAAAGGACACCAAAAAAGGGAGAATTATTTTTTTAATAATATTTTTATTTTTCATTTTATTATTATTATTTTGTTTTTTTTGGTAGAAGTTATATATGTATTGTATGCATATCGTTACATATCCTTTGTTTTGTACGGTTAAAGGACAAAAGAAACAGCATACGGCGTTATGCATTGTGTATATATATGTATATATACGTTTGTATAAGCTGGCTTTACAAGTATACGTAACATATAGATATATTATATACGCACGTACCTACGTCATACGCCTTGTTATCTCTTGTACATACGCGTATATACATATATTCTACGCATATTCAACCGTACATATAGCCAAGGCACAGATAAACCCCAACGTGACAGAAAAATGACTGGATCAGACGAAGAATTTGAAATAGGGGACATCCTCGAAATAAAGAAAAAGAAAAATGGGTTCATTTACCTAGTGAAGTGGAAGGGCTACTCAGACGATGAGAACACGTGGGAACCAGAAAGTAATTTACTCCATTTAACAACCTTCAAAAAAAAAATGGAACATTTAAAGTCCACTTATTTAAACAAAGCCGATACAATCCCCAATGATGGTAAACTATTAAAAAACCATCTGTCGTCATCATCCTCTTTGCAAGAAGAAGTCGGAACCACTGGTATGATCAAAACCAAAGGTAGAAACCGGCTAATTTCAAAAAAAAGAACTAATAGAAAGGGCATAACGAACAAGTTGGAAGGGAAAAAATTCTTAGGTCCACTTTCGGATAATTCACAAAAAAGGAGCGACGACGAAGATAACGAATCAATCAAGCAAGAAATCAATGGAAACGCTCACGATAACACCTTGCTAAATGTAGAAGATGTATACAGCGTTCGAATTAAAAATAGAAAGATGGAATTCTTGGCTAGCTTGAAAAACGCCTCTCCACAGTGGGTGGAAGAGTCCAACATACGAAGAACAGGACATCTAAACATAAAAGTAAACGATTTTAAAAAATATATACGGAGAAAGAAAACATCCAAGGGAAATAGAATTGTTATCAAAAATCTACACAACGTTGGAGATGAGCTGTACATTTCGGTTATACACAACATAAATAACAAAGAAATTCACAGCTTATACCCTTCGAAAGTTATTGAATACATATACCCACAAGAACTTTTAAATTTTCTTTTGTCAAGACTTCGATATCGAACGGCCTAAGTATGTGAGCACATACACTAATATGCTCTTCTGGCACAGACACAACGCATACCAAGTTGTGTGCACCATACAACTATATACATACGTGTCCATGTATATATGTGTGCTCACCGAGGTAGAACGAGGCGCGACGTGTATCACGTTGTTATAGCGACGTATTATCTCACCCTCTCCCCATAAGCGTGTGGATTGCACACCCATTCCATCCTTTAAGCACAAAATTTACACCATTTATAAGTGGCTATATATGTTAAAGAAAAAAAAAAAAAAAAAGAGAAAAAAAGGGAAGACACATTTATAATCTACAAAATGGATGAAAATTAGTATGGATGAATGAAAAAGACACAATGTAAAACTATTTTTTTCTTTTTTTATTCAATTCTTTTCACTATATTTTTACCATAGCCGGGTACCACAGATACCTAATTTACTGTCCATGACCAGACGAATATCTCCGTCTATACATGCGCACATACCAGATAGCATTTTTTTTTGTGTTTATTTAAATAATTAACGAATAATCCAATTTCTATTTATATGCATATATGTGTATATGCGTATATGTTGCATATATGTATACATATATGTACATTTATGAGTACGTCCACACGGGCCCATAGCGCGCGCCTTTATCACACACACGTACATATATGTATAAACGCACATATGCGTAAACCCAGACCCTCCACAATGCAGTGCCAAGAAAAGAAACACACGTATTAAGGCGTACTGTTTTACTACGTTTATAATACGCACACAGATAATGACGTGTATATGTTGATATATACATGGATCCCGAACTTAGTAAAAAAATAGAAACGTCAACAATATAGGAGACGGAAGAAACAATATTTTTTCGAAGTTATATATTTATAAAGATATGTTGGAAATTTTGACCCTTGTTATTAATCCTCGATGCAGGAATTTTTAAATAAATTACCATTTTCCAATTTAACAGTTATATACAAATGTGCTAATGCATATATAAACATATGCTATATGTGCCCATACATGTATATAGAGACCTATGTATTCGCTCTGGCTTACATTTTAAATGTTGAATAGATTAGCTGTGAATGTAAAACGCGAGCGCACAATCGATGGTTTTAATCATATTTTTTTCTACCCATTTTCACCAGCCTCATATATATAGGTGCACATAGGTGTGTGAAAACGTTTGCTGCAGTGTACTCAGGCACAATGTGCGTGTGTAATTTAAGTATACCTCTATACATGTACATCCGTCACCCTATACATGTTGTTTTCGAAAAAAAAAAAAAAAGATTCATACAAAAGATTAACTTTTTTGTCATATTGTTGATATTTTTTTTAAACAAATATTATAAAAAAAAGTATCCTTTTAAGAACAAATTTGACAGAATCTTCCAAAATGCAAAGTTTTTTGCAATGAGTAAAATTTTCCAAGCCTTTAGCAGGGTAATAAAAAGGGTACGGTAGATTTTTTAGTCGTTCAAATGACAACAAACAGCCTTAAGGATATTCTACCAAAAAAAAAAAAGAAAAATGCATATAGATATCCCTGACATAGACTTTGGTGTTATTAAAAATGTCAAACGTCGAACATAAAAAAGGAATAAATGTGAAATATATGAAAAGAGAACAATGTATGCAAAAATATAAGAAATAAAAGAGATAAAATTCCACATGCCTATGCACAATTTTTTATATTTATACCTTTCGTGTATTAGAGAAAATAGCAGGCAACCCCTTTCGTTGTCACATTTTTGGAGGTATCTTTCTAACAAAGGAACAGAAAAAAATCTATTTCAGTCAGATGAATATACACAATTTGATTTTATAATTTTATTTCCTTAAAATATATTTCTTATAGTTTAATCACCTAATTTATAAATTATATAAATAAAGGAAAAAGTATAATTAAAAAAAAAAAATTGATCCCTCAAATTTACCCGTTCATGGCACGTATAAAATGGCCCTCCAGAATATACGTGAAATGAGTGAGAATAATGTACCATTTTAGAAAAAATAAAATTTTCTTATCTTTCATTCTTCGTTTAAAATATACAAATAGAATTATTTTGCAGTAAAATATATTTTGTAAATATAAACATTTCGTTGTGTATATATCAGGCTCATTTTGTCATTTTTTCAGGGCTGCAGGAATTTTTAAAAAACTGCATGTACATGAGCTTAACCCAAAAATTGTTATCTATATATAAATAAGGAAAATGTTTTCAAAATAACGCAAAATTATGAATAAATTTGCAAAATGACACGATATATCACAAAATAAACATCGAATAAGGCATAATTATGCAAAAAAGGTGAATTAAAAGACGTTTTTTTTTCCCCAATTTTTCCTTTTCTATTCTGTCGATACAACAGTGAATCAATGTGTATAAAAAAGAAAAAGTACACATGTGTTCAAACCTTCGAATGAGTGTACAAATGTACATAGATTTTTTCTAACACAAATTGTGAACACCTTCTTACTTATAAAATGGCAGTTTAAGTTACATGCAAACATGTATATTGAAAAATTTTGTCGTATTTTCGTTGCACAAGTGTAATTATCCACACTGTGAAGTCTGATTCGCTGTTTCTTTATTCATTTCCCTCTTAATTTTAAAGAATGTTACATTTTCTATTTTATGCCAAAATTTAACATCATCCTCGGTTGTTTTTGTGTACGTGCCACTACAAGTAATTCGAGTTGCAGACTCAGGTTTTTAACCTTACATGAAAGAAAGAATTGTGTATAAAATGTGTAAATAAGAAAAAAATAAAGAAAAAAAGAATGTCAAAGTAGTAGGAAAATACAATTGAGTTTAAATTTTTTTATGCATACACAGCATTTTTTTTTTTTCTTTCCGTATATATATACTGCAAAAATGAGCATCCCAATTTGCAGCAACTATTTGCATAATATCTACATAGAATTTAACTTGTTTAACCATTTTTTAAAAGATTTAAATCAAAGAATACAAAGTGGCAATAACGAAAGGTATACGCCTATATATGACAGCTGTATTGAAAATGCATATAACATACAAAATAAATTTCATGCATGGAACAGTGAAACAGAACACATTGATGAAAAGTTCATGGAATATTTTTCTCAAAACATTATTATAAATATTAAAACATTTTTAAGGACAAACTTGTGCTGCATAGATGAAAATCTGGAGAATTTAAAAAATAGAAATAAAAAATTAATTGAGAAATTAAAAGTGGACTTAGAGAATGCGGAAAATCAGGAAAATTATATATACGAATTGGAAAGGAGCTTAACATGTGAAAAAGAAAAAAATAGAAACGCACATAATTTACAGGAAAAAATAAACAATCTTGTAAATCAAAATGAAAAACTTAAGAAAAAAAACGAACAATTGGAGATGTCCTCATGGAAACAGCAAGAGGAAAACAGTAAAATAAAAGTTGAGCTGAAGAAATTTATGTCTCTCAAGAAAAAAAAAAATATTGATAACGGTAAAAGATCTTATAACAGATTAAACAAAAACATGAGCACGCTATTTAAACGAATTAACAACAACATGCGGAGAAGCAAGAAAAACAAATTGTTGTTCGAAAAAAGTAGGAGTTACAGTGCCAGCTTTTTGCATACCATCAATAGTATAATGCTCGATGAGGATATCTTTGGTGAATCAAATCCACATAAGGGGGAATACGGGGATGAAGCGGAAAATTACTCACAAAAAAATGATATACAAAAAAATCGTGCGGGACAAGATGGCATAATGCAAAGTTGTTCCCATAAAAAAGGAGCCCTACAAAGTGGAGCACAGCAGAGTGGAGTACTACAAAATAACACACCGCAAAATGTTGTAACAATGAGTGACCACTTTGGCCACGAACCCACCGAAGATATCAAAAAAACAATAAAACACATTCGTCGGGATCACCATGCGTATCCAATCACTCATGAAATACCTAACAATATGATCAACTCAAAAAAGTTTTTCTTTAGAGGAGACAAAAGAGGAATATGTAGAAATGAATTAAATTGCTATAATATTCACGAAAACGGTAATTTTAAAATGACAGATCAAGGAGAAAAAATCCACACAAATATAGAATCCGTAAATCACAAAAATACGAAAGGCAAATGTCATAAATGGAACAAATTCTTTAAAAATAGCTGCATGCTCAAAAGAAATTTCACTAATAATGATTACTGTAACGACGGAGAGAATACCTTGTCTTGTTACACCAATACTGTACTTATTGATATAAGAAAAGCGCTAAGTAATAAATGAAAGAAAAATAAAAGGAGAGTGGATAGCATAGCAACTATCTTATTCGAAGTAGGCAGGGAGCAATGTGCATTAAAAAAAAAAAAAATGAAAATAAAAATAAAAGAATAAAATATGAAAAGTACATTTTTTTTAAATGTAAAAGGAATCTATATTAATAGTTATATACGATAATATGCAAAAAGCAAGCACTAAATCATTAAAAAAGAAATATAGAGCGAGTTCCTCTTTTTTATGCCTGCACAAGTGCTATACACCTTGAGCAATGCAAAAATGCAGCATTGTTTCGCCTCAATAACATTATAATTTGGCGTTATAATTCTCTTTTTTCTTTATAGGAAGCAACCAAACGTTTTTAATTAACTCTATATTAAGGAAACGGATGTGTAGAGTTAAAAAAAGGAAAAGGGGGAAATTAAGGACATTGCTTAAAGAGAAAGAGGTAAAAACATTTATACTCTATTCTGTTTCCATCTTGCACTTCATTTTTTTACTTTGCATTTGCGTAAGCCTTAACCTTTTTCCGAACTAGTGATGTTGTTCGAATTCAACATCATTAGAAAAATTGTGTCAAATGGAAGTGAAAATTGAAAAACATAGTGAGGGGAAAGAGGCAAAGAATAAAAGAAGTGCATACAACATGGTCCGATTTAGGGGTTGTACTGCATGGGTGTTATTTAAGCTAATCAAAACAAGTGCATATTTTTAGTTTTATCAAATTTTGCAAACAGCTTTATCTGTTTTCTATATGTTGTTGGATAGTTTATCCGTTTGTGCTAACTTATTATATGCTCCCTTATTTTTTGGCTTTTTTCCCGAAAATTATCATTCTGTTGTTTTTTTGGGAATCATTAATGCTACACAATTGTTTACATAGTAGCTTAAATCTTAAATGTATTTCACAATTTTCATTCTCTTTTAAAGTACCTAATTTTGTTTACCACTTTTCTTGGTTGCTTGTTCTCATGCACTACAAATGTTATGACGTGCAAATTGCTTACTTTGTAAGAAGGATTTTCTTTTTTTTTTATTAATATTTAAATGTAAGATAATATTTTTGTTCTACATTTGAGGATTATTGTTTATGTATAGTTGGACCGTATTTGTTCTGCACAATTTATCATTATTATCATTATTATTCATTATGTTGTGCTCCCTTCTGCCACATGCCTATTTTATTTTCCCTAATTATCCCGCCCCGAGTCTATTACCTATTGAGCACTTTAAGATCAAATGTTTATATGCAGATATGCACATGTATACATGCAGGTGTGTGCACATTAATTGATTAAGATGATCGGAGGTGACATTTCACTCTTATGTCGCCTCTTTCGAGCCAGTTATATACGTACAAACGTATCGATGCACTCATTTTTTTTTTTCTTTTAACTCCAAAAAGATATAATTTGTTTTTTCCTTTTTTTTGTTTTATTTTTGCAGAAATGTAGATTCAAAGAGTATACTCACGCAGGAGATGATCAGTTACATAGCGTAAGCAACATGATAATGGTACGATTGCATCGAGTATTATCTCTTCATGTGTGCCTATGCCAGAAGAATATGCACATACACGTCAACACGAGATCGACTTCAAGTGCATATTCGTATGTTGTACTTGTACAAGTGCGTATTCACTGCTACCTGAACATGTAAAAGTGTATATCACACAAGCAGCTGTGTGCAACGATAAAAATTAAAAAAAATTTTACACATTATCGATGCTTGGGTGCATATGCAAACCAAGGAGAGGATAATGAAAATATATATGTGTGTGTGTTCATATAAACGGAGGGAAATTATCATTCATTTTAGTTTCTTTTTTTTATACATTTCACAGGAGGACTACAGAAGCACAATTGGCAATTTTTATGAGTGCATAAAAAAAGACATAGAAATTGTTATTGAGCGGGATGGCAACATAAATGTCGAGCTTTTTTCGAATTATTTCAAAAAGTAATTAATCAATTTTGAACTTACCTGAGCCTTTCTGCATGTTCTGTCTTTTCTTTTTGATCACACACTGGAAATGAATGATCTGTCATTATCACTCTTTCTGATCCTATTTCTGGTGTTGTTGCAGCTAACGTTCCCATCGCTGGTGCTTTTATTACCATTTAATTATTTTATTATTATATTATTTTACTGTTATGCTGTTTTACTGTTTTTTTTTTCGGTTCCCCTTTGAAGCATGATAAAGGAAATCCATGACGAAAAAAATAATGTGAAAAGAAAAAAAATTGATAAAATTACCAGAAAATATCTCCGGAAAATTGATTCTTACAGGTAAAGCGAAGAATTGACCCAACTTATTTTTATTCGACCAAATGTGTTGATGCCTATTCGTTTTTAGCAAAGCCTGAGCCCAAGTGTGTGTAAGCATCTGTACACACATTTGTATATTCATTTGTAAATTAAGTTTTGTATGCTTTTTTGCATTTCTTTTTTTTTTTTTTTGATCGTTTTCGCGCATATGCCGCAGGTATTAGACCCGTTTTCGATCATCCTGTGCAATTGCCGACGCAACCATGTCGCTCTGTTGGAGTCTTTCACATTACAGTTTACAAATATTTAATGGTGAAACTTCTACGCGATATGTGAATGCCAAGTTGCCTTAATTTGTTCCGTTTCGAGCGGACAATGTTATTTTTTATTTGCCATATGTGCATGAATGTACGATATATTTTTGCTTATTTATCCGTTCTCTCACCTCTTCACCTTACGTCTCCATCTGTCCGCGTAACCACCCATTCACCTCTGGGCCCATCATCCACTTATTCTGATACTTACACGCACATAAATGTAGATTACGGGAGCGGGACTTTTTCGAAGATGAAGGAAATGTAGAAGACAGGAGTTGCAAATATCACAATAGGAGTTTAAATAAATATGAGTCATTTGACTTAAGGAAAATTCTAAAAAATAATTATGAACAACACGAATTCGGTAGTGACAATGAAGAAGAAGAACCTTTTTCTTTTTCTTTCTACGAAAATAGAAATATAAGAATTATTGACAGATTAAAGGATTTAAAGAGTAACATTTCATTTTTTAAGTTTTATGATTTAATTGATTTCCCAAGTAAATCCTAATTTTTTTTTTTTTTTTTTTCAATTTCCATATTTTTTGGGCTGGCCCCTTGTCTGTAGGGGTCTTTGTTTCTCAAATATGTCTTCATTTTTTGTAGCATTGTGGGTGCGTCGCATTACTGTTGGTACTTCTCATTTGTGGGGACGTTTCACACATTGGTGGAAATATCAAATTGTCGTCGATTCTAAGACGGCGACATCTATCTTCAAATGTTCCAACTTTACGATTCTAACTCTGTAATGTTAACTTGGTAATTTTAACTGGGTTAATCTAACAGGCTGAATCTAAATTTACAATTTTAACTGGGTTAATCTAACAGGCTGAATCTAAATTTACAATTTTAACTGGGTTAATCTAACAGGCTCAATCTAAATTTGTAATTTTAACTGGGTTCATCTAACTGGAAGATCTGAACTTCGTAATTCTTCTCACTCGTATTGATCCTTCATATACGTGTGCGCACAAGGGGAGCATTTCTTGGGCCTTTCACCCTCCTCCAATTACTTGCTTTAACCCGTCGGGCAGTCACAAAAATCATGGTGGAGGACAAAATGGCGCAAAAATTGAGCTACTTGGTTAGGCGCACCCGTAGCGTACCAGTGTGTATGTGTATGTTTGTAATTGGGCACATACGCACATACATACGCACATACATACGCACATACATACGCACATACATACGCACATGCACACATTTCGGTCCTTTCGAGGCCGTCTGTGCACATTTCGCGCCCGTGCCCTAAGTAATCACGATTGCTTGTTGGCATATACCACTTATAGCATCTCACATCACGAGAACGTCCAAAATTACGCACACGAGCTCTTCCCCGCGCCCCGAGATGTGCACGTTAAGCATCACAGGGTCGTTCTGACACGTCACAGATGAAGCGACAGGTTTGGCGAAGGACACATGAGACGCTACAACCGAAATGTAAAACGGGACGAGTCGAGATTAATACACCAATGCCTGATCATTTTCAATAACGAATAGATCAAATCACCTCTTTCTAAATGCATGCTTAAAAAAATGAATCATGTGTCTCATATCACACCCAATTTTATGCGCATCCGAAACGTCTCATTGTTTGTATTCATCATTTGCGTTTTTTTTTCTTATTATACTTTTTACACATTGCTCAAATTGAGAAAAAAGATAATAAATGATCGGAGCTATCACCTCGTAAGAAGTAACGCATGAATTTACACATTTCGTTAAGCGTAATGCACGCAGTATTTTTTTGTTTTGTTTTTTCGTTTTCGCCTTTTTCGAAGTGTTGCGCTTTGGACATCTCTTGCGTTAAAGGCAAATTTTCCCTTTTCGCTATTGTCAACCATGCCGTAGTATACTTATCCAGACTAAACAAAAACATGACGTGTTAAAAAAATACACGCAAAGAAATAGAGCACAGTGAAGCGGGCAGTAAAATGAAATACAACCATTTTTACAAGAAAGCTCAGGGCGCCTCAGCACAGAAAAATCTAGGCAAATGTGCATAAGGAAAAGAGGGAAATAAAAAAAAAAAAAAATTGCTTCGAAAATAGTTACAATATTTATTACCACAAATTGTTAATAAAACAAAATTATGTTCTCTTACAAAAAATGCGACTTTTTCTAAAAAGAACACAATGTGTTACACGAATATGTTTAGCCTTCCATGAGTTCCCCTTTATCTACTTTGCTCCATGGACTCTTCATTATTAAAATCAGGATAATCATTTTTTATATCCCCTTCTTCCAAATCGTCCTCCTTGTCAGTGTCAACAAAATACACGAGGGCGGCTATATACAATTGCAAATTTATGAAAAAAGACAAAATATTCTCGCTTTTGATAAATGAGGGGATCTGTGCCTGTAGAGGTTGCCACGAAAAGAAAGGAATAAATTTATAACATAATATGCAACAGATAGCGACGCGGCGATTAAGGAAATCTATCGTGGGGGTGAACACGATAACTAAAAGCTCTTTCGTGACGAATCAGCTTCTCCGCACCCATGCTACGTTGCATGTTTTTTCCCCACAAGTTGTGAATACGCCATCGTGTATGGGTTACATGTACGGGGGTGCACACATGGATAAAGTATGCACACATAGGTATGTACGAGCGCCCATTTGCACTCCCCGCATGCATACACACATTTTCGCATGTATTACCCGGTAGTGCTTGAGGAATATGTTGCTGCAAAACACGCCGAGGGAGGAGTGGACTAGGATTGGTAGCAGGGTTAAGAGTAAGGTCCGTATTTTCATTTTCCTCTTTTCGTCCTTGTTGAATGTTAAGAAATGCGTCGTCAGTAGCATATTCACGGCGACGGAAAAGAAGCCCATCTTTGAGAGAAACAAGCCAAGTGTACTGATTGGCAGCATCAGTGTGCTAATGTTAACTACTTCTAGGAGGCTCTTCCTGCAAAGGTGTAAAGAGGGGGGAACCATTTGTGTCCACAAAATGGTAGCCGTGATGTTATAATTTGGCTCTCGCATGTGTTGTTCTATAAGCACGTAGTCACTTGATAACCATTCGCTCTTTGCTCTCCTCACACACTTACCACTTAAAGATTCGGAAGAGGAAGTACCCACGGTCGTCCAACTCTTCGCCCAGGTTTTTCAGCACCCGTTCCTTCACTCTTTCGTCGATGTTCGCGCTCTTTATGTAATCAACCGACAGCTCGCTCGTATACTCATCATTTCCAAACAGGTGAAACTTCTGCTTCCTTTTAAAGTCATGCAAATTTCTTTGAATTATTTTCTGTGTGATAAAAAAAAACGTATCTTTATATTTTAATTTGCTCTTAATGTCACTACACCCTTTAATGAACTCATCGTGGGCCTTAACCAACTCGTTGTAGTTGTCTCTATCGGTTTTCCCAAGCTTCCTTAGGTATTCCTTCTCCTCTTTATCTAGTTTGGGTGAGGAAGAAAAAAGGGAAAGACGAAAAAAATTAATAAAATAAGATATGAAATCGCTGTACCGTTTATCATCTCTCCGTTTTTAGAGGCTAATAAGTTTTTTCTTTTTTTTTTTCCTTCTTTGGCCAGACGCGCATTTCACTGAGCTTCTCTAACTCTGGCGGTGCAGCACATGTCCCACTTTGAAGAAGGGGCCCAAGAGTGGGAACCGAGTGGTGTACGAATACGTATAAATATATGCATATGTTGACATCACATCAAATTGGCACACCGCACATGATTTTTTTCGCGAAATGGCATCTTTGCTTTTTTTTTTCTCTCTTCTCGTTTCTTAAATGCTAACTTAGAGTATATCTGTCCTGCTCATTGGTAAAATAATTTGAAAAAAAAGACAACAGTTTATTTCTGTATTTCCTTGACTGACTACTTTGCAGACATTTATATGGGAACCATTTCTTAAGTGAACATTTTCTATACAAATAATTGACGGACGAAACTCTTTTCACATAATTCTGCTTGTCGTTCCGGCTTGATAAAATTTTATAATTTACATGAAAACAGGAGTATGTTTCTATAGTCAGGATGACGAATAGAACAAAATTTGCTATCATTTTTTTAGCAAGCGGGATTGTCATTCTTTGGCGCAAGTTACAGAGAAAAAAAAAAAAAAAAGAAAGAAAAAAAAAGACAAGGGAGATGCATAAAAGGAACGAGATAACGAATGGGGTCGTAAAAAAGAGGAGCCGTTGTTAATTCTCATTTCTATAATGCGATAGGAAACCCTGAATTTTGGCTAACTCGTTCTCTCCCCCTTTCGTCTCCACTTCTCCTTTCCTTTCGCTGCATGTTTTCCTCATTTTAATTCAACAATTTTGAGAAAGTTAAATGGAAAAAAAAAAAAATAGAGGCATATTTCTCTCTCTACACATTTATTCCATTTCCGTTCCAGAAAAAATAAAATAAATAAGTGAACCCCTTGAATGTTTTCCCTTTTACACTTACACAACACAAGTTCAACTTCGCGCTAGGTGTAAAATCGTGAAGAAGCTACTTCATTTGCATATATGTACATATGCTTACGAGCTACATACACGTGGAGCACTGATGGCAAAACGGGAAAATGAGCTCTTCTGTTGGGGAATTTTTTTCCGATCATTCCAGCAATTTGTAACAAAGGATTCTTTCGATGGTGTAAGGACTCCGACAGGAACGGCGCGAAGAGAACGCGGCGAAGGCAGCAATTGTACGGAACGAAACTAATTGAACTGCACTGAAGTGAACCGAACTGAACCAAATTCAACTGGCGAAAAATGAGACTGCCGACCGCGCCGTATCACTTTGTTTTTTTTTTTTTTAATTCAGCTCTGCCATAAATTGTTCAACTGGCAGGAACAAAATGAATAAAGCACGAAAGTGTGAGAAGAACTTTTGCCGTTGTTCCATTATGATCGCACGGAAGAAAAAATTGCCACGGGAATTTAAGCTAAAGGGGAACACGACATTTCTGCTAAAATGCTACATACAAGATGTAAGTTTTTTTTTTTTTTTTTTTTTTCCTGCTACATGGAAAAACAAGTGTAGCGTATAGCTAAATATAGAGCCTCGTATTTTTTTTTTGTTTTTCTTCTTTACCGTTTTGAACAAAATGAAGAACTCCCAGATGGAAAGAAAAAAATACTCAGTTCATAATTTGGTAAAACTGATTAATGAGAGGAATAAACAGAACATAAGGAATAAGCAGCTCTCTGTAGGAGCCGACGGTACGACAAGTATCAAGATAGGGGACGGTCTGGATAGAGAAACGCACAATGATTTTTTCCACATGGAGAATAATGGGCAGGTAGGAGGAAAGGACAAAGCTACGGTCCCCTCGGAAGTTGGGGATAGCAGCGGAGATTATGGCGTAAGAGACGGGAACGTTGATGATGGCGACGAATGTGACGATGACGACGAACATGACGACAAACGTGATGATGAACGCGCTGCCTGCACGTACGGGGCGGACGCGACGCTGCCCCCCCCCGGGCACAAGGAAATAAAGCTGTTCATGTTTGATTACAACGAGTGCCAAAACCAAAAGTGCTCCTGTAAGAAGTTATACAAATTTAAAAAAATAAAAAAGGCACCAATCAATAAAAAATTTAAAGGAATCGTATTAACGCCATTCTGCGAGAAACTCTTTTCCATAAATGATAAAGCCACTGTGGAGAATTTTGGCCTGTCTGTAATTGACTGTTCTTGGAAATCGCTGGACTTATTGAAAAAATGCAAGTTCGCAAACCAGAGGAAATTACCTTACATCATTGCAGTTAATAGTATAAATTATGGAAAGCCATACAAGCTCTCCTGCTTGGAATCGTTGGCATTCTGCTTATATGTCTGTGGCTACAACAAGCAGTGTACCGATATTCTCAACATTTACAAATGGAGCTCAAGTTTTGTAAATCTCAATGAAGAGTTGCTCGATATGTACAAATTATGCAACACCCATGAGGAGGTAAAGAATGTTGAAGATGAGTTTATTCATAATTCGCTCAACGAAAAGGAGAAACGGAAAAAAATAGACCACTACAAGGTTATATATGAGGATGGCTACTTGTAGTTGTAGCTTTCGTCATCGCGCGCCATACTTTAAGACTTTTCCCATTGCGCATCACGCGTTTATCTTTTTTCTTTTTTTTTTTTGTCATTCCATGATGTGCGTAGATATGCGCCCCCATGGGCTAATTTTTAACCGCTATCTAATTTGTGCATTCCGCAGCACACAATGTGCAGCGGTATATAATTCAAACGACTAACAATATTTTGTTTCCCTCCTATTCTGCAGTAAAGGAAGGGTTGCGCAGCTCGGCCCATTTCTTTACAATTAATTTGTTATAACGAAAAAAGATTTTTAATTTGTAACGCGTGTCCTTGGAGCAAAGAAAAGAAAAAATATATATATATCCCCCGTCTTTCTGTCACCTCTTCAATTTATATAAGTCGTCCAATCGTACTTCCCATAGGCAGATTTAAACGTCTCCACAGCATTCACATACTGCTGAAAATTTTGAAAACATTTATAAAATTTATCCTTCTTAAAAAGATCTGTAAAAATGCATTTACACATATTTATGTAATCATAATTGTTTTCAATTACTTGTATATACGTCTCCACTAACGAAAAATTGACCGAAACGTAGGGGATCTGTTTCGGTAAAACATTATAAGGGGCATATTTATTTTTCGTGATAATTAACTGCTTGTTTTCTCTATATAGAGAATTTATATCTTCCAGATTTTTTTTGAAATAAATTTTTGCCTTTTCAAGCAACTCCATTGGTATTATGTAACAATTAATATATGTATGTTTTGTTTTTCTCAGTGATATTAATTCGATGCTAGCATTAAGAAAGTTATTAAATTCGACAAAAATGCACGTCTTATTGCTTTCCTCCAACATGGCTATTAGCGACTTCATGTGATTGCGCATGTCTTGCACGGTATCAAAATTTGTGTTCGTTACGCTGGTGGTATGTTCAATAGGCGAAATAAACAACTGATCTTTTAAAAAGACATTTTTATAATTATAGTAACATATATATGACTTCTGACTGATGCTGATTATATTCAATTTATTTATTTTGCTGAAAGAGTTGGAGTCGATGCAAAATTTACAGTCTACTAAATTTTTGTTTAATGCGTTTTTTAACAACATTTTTTCTTTTTTTTCCGCTATTGTTATTTCCAATTTGGCGCTCAACTGGGTAATTCTTTCCGTGCTATGTGTCTTCATTTTGTCCTCACGTTGGCTACTAAAATGGATTTCCGTTTTTTCCCTTCTGATCTTCTGTTTGGTTTCATCACCCGAAGGGGACCCGCTCCCTTGCGAGTCGCTTCTTCGTCCCCCCATTAGGTAGCTTTTCCCCGTTATGTTGTTTTCCCCATTTTTGTGCTTTTTTCTCGTTTGTTTTCGCTCCGAACCGTCGGTGATTTTCTCTTTTCTGGGTTTTTCTTCCATCTTTTCCTTCTTTCTCTTCTTTCTTTTATCGTCCTCCTTCTCCCTTTTCCGCTTCCTTCCCTTTTTGTCCCTCTCATTATTTCCCCTTCGATGCTTCTCCCGCTTTGGTCTTCTCGTCTTCTCGTCGGATGAGGGAGAGGATGTGCGTGAGGAGGTTGAAACGGAGGATGCGATAGATGAGGACGATACGGACGTGGCTGCCGATGCGGATGAAGCTGAGGCGTCCGAGGAGCCATTTGCCGAGCCCCCCTTCACGCTCCTCTTCAAACCTTTACTCCTCCTTTTAAGAAGAAAATCTTTACACTTCTTGTCGTAGCTTTCTTTATCCTTTAGTTCGTCCCTTTTCATCTTTCTCATATCAGACAGGTGCCGATCGTGCATTCCCTTAACCTTAATTTCCTTGCCCCTTTTTTTTTCATTCGCCTTTTCTTCATTTCGAGAATGTACATTATTCTGTTTTAGGAGATTTAGGAAGTTGTTTTTCGCGTATTCGTAGAACTCGTCGACGTTGCTCATTTTGGAGTTGCCTTTAGGCGGAATGGGGGGAGGAACTGCCCACATCCGATTGCGCACAAAGAGAAGGAAAATAAATCAAGCGAGCGAGCGAAAAAACGAACGAACGACGCCTCAGTTCATCTCCGTCGCTTCAAATCGTTGACGCCGGCAAACGACGAAATGAACGCTCGCCGCTTCATGCAGTGCCAGTTGCGTGACATGGTAAGGACGGCAAATCCATAAAAATAAAAAAATGACAAAATAAAACAGCGTATGATATATTTTACACTCTTTACAGAGCATTAAAAAGTGTGACACAAATTAGGAATAGAAAAAATTACAAAACAGGGAAAGGACTCCCTTTTTGCCTTTTCGATTATGCATAATCATCACTTTAAAAAAGAAAAAAAATAAAGCACAGAAACAACTTTTAATTTTAAGAAAAACAATTTAAAACACGTTTAGCTAAAAAGACTTGGAACGTGAGTTCCTCGGAACGGTTCATCCAAATAGGTGAAACGTCATGCAAACTTGTGAAAAAAAAAAAATTCCAAATTTGTTTAACCCGTTTAGACCTTCACCTTGGGGCCATTAGGCTGGAAGAGGTCAATTAACACTGTCCGAGTCGCTTGAATTTTTCATTAGGAAATGCTGAATGGGAAAAGGAAAAGAAGTTATGTTGTCGTACCTTTTAACAAAACCCTCGCACATTTGCAAGATTTTTGTGCACTCCCTCTGAGTAGGTAATACGGATACAAAAGTTATGCATTTTTCTTTTTTTTTTTTTTTTTTCTTTTACGTTTATGTAGGGATCATCCGTTGACTTAATCCATTTGTTGGACTCCCTATTCGCGTTGGCTAATATGGCCTCTCGTATTTTTTCTGGGAATTGCATAACATCACCTAGACGAAGAAAAAAAGGGGGAGGTGCAAAATAAAGCGATTCCCTCAAGAAGCGTAGCGGTGTAGTTTATATGCCATATATGCCGCTCATCCACATGAAAAAGTTTACCCGAGGGGGTGACGAATTCCATCTTTTTGACAACAGTGGGAATTTTGTACTCGCCCATTGTTGCATTCATAATTGATAAGCTGTTCCTATTGTAACTGCAAGTAATTTTCTTTATGTTGAAGTAAGACGGCTTGAAATATTTAAACATGTAGAGGGATGGGTTTAAAAGTTTTATGTTATCATAAATTTCTGGTTCTTCGTGGAGGATTTTTTCTTCCTTTTTTTGTTCCATCTCTCTTCTTCGGTAGTAGGAGTAAGATAAGTTCGTTTCCTGCTTTTTCTCTTTTTTATCATCACTGTTGACAATTTCGACTGCGCTGAATCCGTACAAGCAGAGGTTGTTCATTAGGACCTGCGGGATGGAGGAGCAACATGTTCAACACACGTTGGTACGAAAAGGTATGTACACACGGGCATGCTCACTTAGGGAAGTGCGTATCGAAGGAACCGCTTAAAAGCGCAATCGCATATAAGCGTAACTGCACTCACGGAACGCACCAGAATTTCGTCCAAGTCGCAGCACACATCAATTGCTTCCACAGAATCCCACAGGGAGTCGTGAACAGGGCAAGGGTTCGCAATGAATATTATTTTCCCGTGTGCGACGGCGGTGTCGCCACCGCTATTTTCACTCGCCGGATAGGGGCTTCGCAAATTGTTCATCTTAGGCTTAATCCTGAATTTGTTAAACACGTTAGACGTGTGAATACCTACGGGGGAGGAGCTTTCTTCTCTTTTTTCGATAAGCGCAAATTGTCCCCACATGTATACTGAATGTTTAGTATTCCCAGGCTTCGCAATCAAACAGACAAAATTATCCGAACATGCAATTTTGATTACGCTAATGTTTGGCGAAAGGAAAGTCAACGGGTAGATCGATATTTCATCGAGGTTTCTTAACTTCTTTTTATTTAACCCTAAGATGCACTTGTAATTATTCCCCCAAATGTACAAAGAACGTTTATCGCTCCTTAGGCACACATTGTAGCTGTCATTACAAAGAATTGCCTGACATCCAGATATTAAAAACACAGGTTCGTACACATTCTCGTTAAAATATTTCAAGTTGATAAAAAAGAAATTGCCACTGATGTAGAGATCACCCTTTCTACAGATGTAGCCACTATGATAGGAGGCACAGCTAATATTCTTAATCCTAATTTTGTTTTTTAAAAAATGTTTTATTACTTTAGGATATCTTACTATACTTCTTTCATATTTTTGCCCACACTGTCCAAATAGGTTACTTCCCCAGGAGTATACATTTCCATTTTCTGATAGAGCTAATGTATGTTCAGACCCACAACTAATGTTTGCAATTTTATTTGTTTCACTTACCACTTTGGTGAATTCCACCATTTTTTCATTTTCCCCCTTATCATTTTTTTTATCTATTATTTCGTAATCTACAATGTCCTCCATGGACTCCCCCCCAGGGGTGTTCGAAAAAAGTTTATTATCAATTGTGAATTTACGTTTGTGCTCAAAAATTAAATGTTGGATATTTTTCTTATACTTGCTGCATAAACTGTGCTCTGTGTAGTTTTTCTCTTCTTCTCCCTGGTTTTGGGGGGGAAAAGCGCTGCCTTTTCCGCTTTTGGTAGGTGTCGAATTTCCTCTCAGGTGAGAACCGATGCTTTTGTTTCCTTCTAGAGAGGATCCCACACTGCTGAAGGTACTTTCCCTTTTCGTGGTATCCCAGGTGGAGTTACATCTTTTTCGACTATGATTTGAGAAGTTCATCATGTCTTTGTTCCTTCCCCGGGGAAAGGATTTCCTTTCGCGGCGGTTACCTCTTGGATGAATTTGCTTCGAAGACGCTGAGGGGAGGGGCTTCGCATGACCGTTAACCACCGCGTTTGCTAGGTTGCCCACTGTTTTGTTTCTCATACTGCTCGTCATGCTGCCCTCCACACTGTTATGTATGCTTTCCGATGCACACCGGGACTCCCTCGCAACGCCGATCGTGTGGTAGATAAAATTTTTCTCAAACAAGTTGTAATAGCCGAGTTGTCCGTAGTCATTCGAACCCAGGCTGTACACAAACTTGGTGTAGTAATTCTTCCGATTCCCATAAGTGTTACTCTTCCGTATTGTGGTCGTGAAACCGTCTTGTGCATCACCAACAGGCTCGCTGATAACACTTTGGGCGATTAGCAGAATGGTGTGGGATCTCCCAACGAATATTTGTATGGACCCAAAAACGGGAATGTTTAAAATGGTATTCTGACTATTATTAGTGCATTGCTGAAACATTTGTTCCATGTGAATTATTTTTAAAATGCTGTTAATTTTGTATGCCCACGGGAGGGTATAGTGATAGGAGACGTTTTTATACATTTTTAAATTAAAGACAATATTAAACTGATGATTTTTCCTTTGAAATTTCTTAAAGTAAGAAAAGTACCACTGTTTTAGTAAAATGTGATAGGTCAAAAGTTTCAGAGCTTGTCTCTCCTTCAAGATATAATATTTGTAAAATGGGAAATTATTTTTTTGTAAAAAGTAATACTTGTTCTTGTCATACTCACTGCCATATATGTTAAACTGCACTTGTGAGAAGATGGTTTTTAATTTATAAAAATTTTTCCACCACCTTTGAATTAGAATTATACTTTTCTTCATTTTGTTATATCTGATTCGTTCTATGCATGTATGTATGTAAGCCTGTGTGAAGTATATAGCTGTTATCAGCATGTTGAACTGCTTCCTCACCACATACGCCTTGTAGTTACTCTGAATTTTAATCACCGCTTCTGGAATTTTAAACTGACTCGCAATGATATTTCTACTGTATATATTTTTTATCAAGTAATGGTAATTGACCTTAGTGAGGACATTAGAGTAAGACAAATACTTTCTCTTAATAGATAAAAAGCAAATTTTTAAAAATAGTTTTTTCTGGAAATTTATAAGACAGATGTATCTTCTAAAGTGGGATTGAATTAACAGGGCACATTTGTTAGGGATAATTATTTCATTTAAATTTTTTACAATTTTTACCTGAACGAGATAGGTTCTAATGGCGCTGTTAATATTTTCTACCGCCTTCTTCTGAAACAGTTGCCTTTTTAACTCTCTACATTTTCTTTGTTGCGTTATTTTTCTATACCAGGATTGTATGTATACACTGGCTGCATGTCTAATTAGCTTTTTTTCATTCTTCATGAAATTCTCCTTACACAACTCCAAAGTCTCCTTCGTTTCGTCGAAGTCTTTGTTCTTTACAATGTAACTATAAAATATTATAAACGATACGAATAAGTTTTTCCTTCTCTCCATTGTTTTCGCCCTTTCGAGAAATAGGAACCTCCTCATGTAGTTTTGAATAACAACAATTTTGTCTCTAAGGAAGAATTTTATTTTCCTATTTTTGTACGACAAGTAGCAATTCTCAATTTTGCGGACGTAAGGCACTATCGATTTTACATACTTGTCTCTCAAATTTTCTAAAATAAAGTAAACATATTTACTTAGGAAAATAAAATCCTGGAAATAAAACGTATTCTTTGATATGTTAAAGTTGTACAAAATTATTTTGCACAAATCTCTTTTCTCCTGAACGTTCAGGCATTTTAAGTAGTTGAAATTTTCTGCGTTGTTTGCGGTTTCTTTCTTCTTGGGTGCATGTCTTTGTGGAGTATTCTCTAGATTGGTCAAAGCCCCTCCTCCGATCAGGTTTCCCTTAGTGCTTGCACTTAACCGCGAAGCGGCGTTTTCGCTGGAGCTTTGGGCTCCATTCCCACTTGAGTTGGAAGAGGCGTCTCCACTTACATTGGAAGCGAAGTTCCCCCTTGGATTAGTAACAGCATTGCCATTTGACCTGGAGACCGCTTTACCATCCTCACTAGAGGCGTCATTTCCATTAGCACTTTCTTTAACAATTTCATGCTCATTTGCACCTTCCCGAACGATCTCACGCACATTAGTATGGGGTTCCATGATTGCGTCTTTTTCCCCCTGTTCAGCCTTCCCTGTACCTCTGACGCATCTGTTCTGCCTCCTCTTCTTGGACCTGAGCTCGTAATAATTGATGAGCTTAATCAAATCCCCATCCCTGCTGACGTGGATGCAGAATAGCAAATACTTCTTAATAAAGTCTAGGAAGGTCAAACTATGATACAGATACTTCAGCTGGTAGTTAAAAATTCGTTTCAAATTTAGCATGTCTACAACAGATTTGATATGTTCCTTGTTTATTTTTTTTTTCAGTTCAGAAAAATGGGTGATTTCTTCCCCTGATATGGTAGCAGAATTGAGAAAAGATTTTCTGCTTCGCCCTTTCATGCCACTAAAAAATGGCCTATTTGCAGATGGGGGGAAGAATATATCCCTCGTGAAAATCTTACTTCCATGCCTACTACTGCTGCTGCTGCGAGATGTTCTCCCTCCATAATAGGTATTCAAACCTCTGCCATTGTCCCTGGCATATTTGGTCGTGTACTCAGGAACTAGGAATGTATCTTGTCTTGTTCTTTCCCTCTCATTTAAAACGAGCACGAAGAATTTCTCATATGTATTTTTTATAACACTGGAGAAAAAGCAAATTTCGTCGTATAAAAAGTTGCTCTTGAAATTCTTTAGAGGAAACGAATTTTCCAAAAATAAATTTTTTAAAAATTTCATTTCGCTCTTTTCTATGATTTGTATAGTCTCATTCAGTGCACACAAATCATTGGCATTATCCAGAATCATGTTGTTGCATCGGTACGTAACCGTCTCGTCGTTATAGTGCACTATGGAAAAAATTTTGTTTCTCCCTCTTCCTGCCAAAGTGTCTCCACTTACATGCCACTGCTTCTTATCAGCTTTGGCGATCTCCTCCATCAGCCTTAGTAGCATTTTTTGTGCATACTCCTCATTAGCCAATTTTATTTCGCTATTTCTCCGTTCATCCTTCTTGTAATGGATGGTTCCCACAGGGGGGTCACCACGATCGCGCCTGCCATGACATTCGAGGCTATCACTACTATTGCCGCTATCTCCTTGATCACAGATCCTTCTGGAATACACCCCCTCAGTAAGACGCCTCACTACACGTGAAACTTCTACCCAGTATAGATACACCATTTTGTAATACTCTCCTTTTAGGAAGACGGATGGACTTATGTCCTTTACCTCATGGCAATCTTCCTCGGTGCATAAAAACTTGTATGTATATTTTTCTAACAAATGTAAGATGGGATTCTTTCCAAATTGGGAAACGTAGGAACTGATTATACTACCTGTACAGATGTGATCACTGAATTGTCTGTACTTCTCTACAGTGCTTCCTATGGCGGAGTCGTAGTTATCGTTTTCTTCCCTCGACTCGTTTAATGCTTTTATTGTATGCAAGAGATAGCTATCCATATTGAACATGGACACTTTCAAGTAATAATGGTACAGTATTTCGTTATATATGTTGTTAATAAGATGGGATAAGTTGTTGTATTTCTCTTGGCCACTAGAATTTTTGTTTTCTTCCGAGATGTTTGCACTCAGCCCAGTATTGCTATACACATACAAGGAGTGGGAAACGGTACCATTCAGGAAGTTCGTTCTAAGGTACTCATTAATTTGTCTTATTATCCTGACTTTTAATCGGAAAAAGATAGTGGAACATAGATTTTTAAGCCTTAGCTTATTATTTAAAATTTTGGTCATCACCTTTAAATCTACACCTAGTAAGAAAGCAATGTATTCCTCCATTATATGTCCTGCGAATACTATGAAATAATTGGATCTTTTCTTTCTCTCTTCACTTTTCCTGGTTGTATCTGTGTAAATGTGGTTATCATGCCTATTTGCTTCGTCTCTTTTTTCCCTCCCGCTCGTTGCTGCAGTGTCGTCCTTGCCGATTCTTCGACGGCTCCTGTTGCTGAAGTGCATATCCAAGTTCCCATCCAACGAGTCGCACATCTTCCTATTTTTCAAGTTGCGCACATTGGTTCGCTGTTCTTCAGCACACCCATTCTGCAAAACCTGCCTAATGCAACTTATGCTTTCTTCTTCATCCGTAAAGGAGCTAAAATCGCTGCTCAGGTATTTCTCATTTTTAGAATTTAAAAAATCTGGAAAACTCTGATTTGAATAATCCGATGAGGCTTTTCTCCCCTCTCTGTTCATCGTGTTTGACATTACTAAGTTTTTATAGTCCTGTACACTAATCATCTGCAGCTGCAGGAACTTCAGTGTCTCTTCCTCATTTTTGTGCAAACATGTCCTTATGGTGATATATATATTGATAAAAATTAGTGCAAAGTTTAACTTAATCATTGAGAGGATTTCTCCCTGTGTGAAGCCTAGTTCTAGGAAACAATCAAACGTTTTGTTTATGTCGGATTCCTTTATTTCTATGTCGGCAGGGGTGTCTACATAATTCTTAAAAATTTTTTTTATATCAACTGGGTGCAATTTTAAGTGCTTGTAGTATTTATTCGAGCAATACATTAGGGTGCTTCGGAGAAGGAAAAAGAATATGTAGGGTATATTGAGAATTTCGTCTTGGTTTCCTATTCCCTTTGAGTGTCGCTGTTCGTGGTGCTTTGTGCGCTCTGCAACGGTGCTATCAGTGTCGTTATTCGAACTTGCATGTAATTTTCCCCCTCTTTGTGCCTTTTTTTTTTCTTCTTTTTTCTTCCTGTGCTCATATTTGTTTGAAGTCCCTTGTTCCCCTGGCCCCGATTTGCTTCCCCCGTCGCTGCTACTTCCGGAGTGATACATTTTGTGATGATCATCCAGAACATGTGCGTGGCTACTTCTAACGCCCCCCGTTTTTGCGTACCCCTCTTTGTCCTGCTCATCTGACCAATTTAGGCGCTCCAAGAAGTTTCCCATTTTGGTGCAAATATTTGTCACATTGCTTTGGTCACTTAAAAAACACGGAAGGACATTGAAATATAGCAATTTGTTCTTGCTGCTGAGATGTATGACAAAGTTGTAGCATTTGTAATTAAAAAATAAGTTAAGCACCTCCATAACAGTTTTGTACGCATGATACAGTTCTTTGTTTTTTCCTTTCTTTATTATGTGCCTGAATACATAAGTACTTACTACATTTGGGTTGCTGTTTTTTTCTCCACATATGAAGATCAATTTGTTTCCATAATTTGACGTGCTGAGCTTTGGATTTTTGGAATTAACCAGGTTGTTATAACTGCTGGAGTTAATGGACCTCTTGGACACTCTGCTTGGTTGGTAGTCGATCCTGCTGTGTACGGAGCTTTGTCTCGAGTTGGAAGCGGTGGCGCTGCCCCGGTCCATACCATCGGTCGTGGGCCCGCCAACGGAGCCGTTATCAGTACTTCTAACAGCATCATTAGCAGTTCCCTTTACCGTTCCGTTTGTAGTTCCCCCAACCGTGCCGCTAAAAGTGCCCCCAGGAGAGCCTCCAAGCGAATAACTAATAGAACCGCGCATAGAACCTCCGAGGGAGTCACTGCTATGACTGTCCATAGGAGCCCACCTACGGTCGATCCTAATGTTGAACAGCTCGTTAAAATCTATTCTAAAATTGCCCAAAATATCATTGGGCACTTTCGCCATTTCATCGTTGGTTTTTGTATATAATTCCTTCTTCAATTCTGTTAAGTTCTTTTTCCTCTTCTTAAACTTGTCAAAATCGAAAATGTTCCGTGTTCCCAGATACATTTTTTTTTGCCCCAAGTAGCTCAACACATTTTTGTCATCTTCCATGTAATTGCTATCAGGAGAATCATCCGAATTTTCCTGCCACTCAAATTCGGAGTCACCTTTGCCAAGCTTCTTCTGCAACATATGATTAATGAACGAACTAAATATATAATTATTTTTGTTCTTCGTTTTGAATACCAGTTTATAAAAGGCGTGCACAGACTCGTGTGGGTTAATGATGATGAGCATGTTGTTAAATATACTCAAATAAATATTTTCCTTGTATCTCTTGATGATCAAGTCGCAGATATCTGAATTTTCCCTGTACACGTAGTAAATGTCTTGTAGGTTCTCCATGTGGCTGCGGGGCAAAAAGAAGAATAAGGCATACATGTGTAAATATATACACCCTTTATGGCGCAGTGATCAAGCCTCTTACGCGCTCAGGAGAAACGCTGTCTCTTGTGAGCAAAACTTGTTCCTCCCTTTCTGCGTGCACAATGACATATTTTTCCCCTCAGTGGAGAATGAAGCCATGTTGATTAGTGGTAGAAACCCATGCGTCTTATTTTCCCTTGCAACATACCTCATGGTCTTCCCATTTTGGATA